GAGTGCAACTCAAAATTAGTAAGGTGTTCCTACTGTTTTGTACACTCAGTGTATACCTCTCACTCAATCTATAGCTATAAATTATAATGAATTTATAAATTATAGCTATAATCTATAGTTGTATTCAGCTAAAATACAGAGATTAAATAGGGAATTATTTAAGAAAATTACAAGGGTGCCAATATATTTGGCCGCAACTTTATATATTTGGCCGCAACTGTACATAGCAGAAATGAATGATGTCTGTGAAATGCTGTTGTGTAGAGAAACTTACTTTTATAATAACACAGGGTCACACTTGATTTGGTAGTCCATCTGTAGATGCTCTACAGATGTGACTCACCACACAATGGAAGATTCGTGTTGGAGCTTGTCTGTGTGGGGGTGCATGAGTGTGAAAGAAGAGTGAAGATTGAAACTGAGAAAAACTCCAAGAAGAAAACTAAGCCTAATGAAATCTTTATGAAGAGGATGAGGTTGAGAAAGTGCGTGTTGGAATACCACAACATAGTTTGAGCTATTATCCATTTGAAAAACTTTGAGTGAGTGGGCAATTTCAAAATGGAGGCTGTCTGAAAAAGTCAAGGCTGAAGATGAAGCGTTTCTATGGCATGGCCTACGTTACCATGGTGACGCACACAATACCTTGATCTGCGGCAGTGCAGAAATCCTTGGCGACCGGGTTTGCTTTGTCGTATCGGCGGCACATTTAGGAGTACTTCACCCCCTCTGCCGCCTGGTTTAAAGAAAGGCATTCCGTTGCAATGTGCAGGTCCAATCAAAATCCTGTTTCATAATTACAACTCAATTCATCATCCGAAGGCTTGTACAATGGCTTGAAACTTTAGAAAGTGAGGTATGCTGTGCATACCTGGGTGACCTTCAACAGCAGAGAGATGTATTGACAGTGAGCTTTAAGCACTGTATGTACACAAACCAAGAAGACGTAGGCATATATTGCATGAATACAGTAAAACTTACCGGTATTAGTTAATTGAAGTGAGAACGCAAGGTCTTGGTTTCAATGAAAGGGTCTGGTACGGTGATGACGCACAATAAACACTGTGTAACAAAGCTCTTTGTGGATAATGATTACTGGTGATCATTACCCCAAGTGCATTATGGATCAGTTCAGGAAGTGAAACACTGTCACAGGAGAAGGAAGCAGGCCATTACTGATTGGATTATAATTTATTCCACATCATCTGGTCAGTTTGGTGCCTATTAATAGTGCCTAGAGTAGTATGGTTCCACCAAGGTTTTGTGTCAAACCAACAAGAATGTTGTCCTATTTCGGTCTTAACCTTCAAATTACACTCTACAATCTTCAACCCAAAGTCCGCTGACCGGCACCATTTCGTAGCGCGTCACTGACCAGTCTGTCAGATTAACCAATTGAGTTAGTACATCCTTTATCCCAATTATCTCTCCTTCCTCCCAAAGGGTGCATTTGTCCACTTCCATGATTTGAAAGAAAATGACTAGTATAAGAAATATAATAGCAACTTCCACTAGCCCATGCCCCCAACAATCCAATGCTTTTAGATTTGTGGGAGGTAGTGAACGAGTGTACACTTCAGGAGAAAGGCGATATGAGGCATGCACACATAGTGCTAGTTTTGACCTAAGCAGTCTTACAAAGAGAAGGCGCATTCTACCATCCCTAGTACAAAGAGAGTTGAGAAACACTGCTCTATGTACTTCAGTCCATATCATTTCAAGAGGTCCTTGTTTTTAATCTTCCTTGTTTCTTTCTCCTTTTATTTTGCCCTTGTCTTTCTCTCTATAGCTAGGTTTCCATCCAATTGGTGACAGATTTTCATGTGAATATTCTAAAATCTGCATAAAACAATAAGCACATTTTCCCACCAGAGATGTGTTTCCATCAAATTGATTTATTGCAGATAAAAGGCTGTGCACATAAAAATAACTTCCCATGTACCGAATAAAAATAAAGTTAAATGGGTTTCCATTGCATTTTCAACTCTACTGATGGTTTTGTCACAAAAACTGTTGTGTTATATAGCAAATGTGCCCACTCTGGTCTTGTTATATAGCAAATGTGCCCACTCTGGTCTTGGCACGTGCGCTCTAGCCAACAGCTCGCAGATACAGTGTGGGTAGGCTACCTACATGATAAGATTATGTTTAAGAGCAAGATTATAATTTTTTTGACAAAAGGCAGCCAAGCATCGATCATCATGTCACCAGAATAAGATCCTCGATATTTATTGGAAAGGAGCATCAAGGTCATTACTGTGCATTTTCATCACCCTGTGAAGTGCACCATAATTTATTTCATCTGTAGCCTAATAAACTGCATGCTTTCCCGATTCGTAGTGGGAGGACCACACAACATATTATCGCGTGTAAACCCAAGTTTACTTCGATATGATGGTTATTATATCAATATTTGCGCATAAAGGCGTTTCCACCGCCATTTCTCGCATAATTAATTTTACACACACACACAAAAAGATCCCACCATGTCGAACGAACAAATTGTCTGTTCACATTTATACAATTGTACAGGCATTTCCTGTTTGCATCAGCACGGTCGTGACTTTTTTCACGCATCAGGTAATCCGCATGAAATGGTTGGATGGAAACCTGGTTTGTGTTGAAAAAGTATCACTTGGGGAAATGAGTTGGCAAGCCTCCTCTTTAAATTAGCTTTAAACATCTATTATTGATGTAACCTCCCAATAAGTGTTTGCAGTATTACAACTATGTCCGTAATGCTAATGAGAGAAACAACAAGCATTGTGAGAGAGCAACGGTTTCTCTGACACTTAAAAGGTTTAAAAAATAACGAGAATAAAAACGGTTCAAAAGTACTTAAAGGGATAATCCACCCCAAACCACTAATTCCTATGATTAACCGTGTTAAACTGTGTTAAATATCACTATGTGAAAACAATATTTTTTGTGAACAAACGTTTCATTTTGTCACTATAACAAGGTTGGTAGCGACAGTGAAAATAGCTGTGGAAATCTGTTGCAGCTCAAGTCAACTTCAAAACCCACAATGCAATGCTCTCTCTGGGCTGGCTAGCAAATGTAGCTACACAATAATACCAAAGTCAATATCAGCATATGAAGTAGTTAGCAATCTTTAAACTCGCCTAAACAAACTGCACTATCAATTTAGGAGTCTATCTCACCGAGTTGTCACAACTTGCAGTTCGTCACTGCACAGAACTAGTGCAGAGAACGTTACTATGGCAACAACGGCCCTTTCTCACAGACACATTGAAAGATGGTACTTGAAGGAGAAACTGAGTCGAATAATTTGGTACACTGTTTAGATTGAGCACATCTAAGGGAAATATATACAGTACTTTTTCATGACGATATAAACGGATGGATATGCCCATACCTTCTATTGGCTGATTTGGCGATCTGGAGTGCAGGTAATTGTTTTAAAAGCGTTATGAAACGCGATAACGTCACACTATCTCCAGTGACGAGAACCATGTACCTATGATTCATTCCTACACAATTTTCTGATTTCACAGATGGACCACTTAGAAGTTAAATCATGGGGTAAATGTTTATTTTACCCACTGATAAAACATAGGCTTTCATCAAATTGACAAGAGTTTCATATTTGTATTTCTGGGGGTCAATTATCCCTTTAAATTGCAAGTTAAAACATACAAATTGGCAGGTAAAAACAGCTGTGGCTCACCCTTGTTAAAAGACAATCAACTTCCCCAAACATTCTGGCACACCTATTTAACATGGCAGGCGACTTAATTACTGAACTGGAACACCTGTGTCAATTAGCCACTTCCATCGCTGGACCGGTAGAAAACAAGAAACACGACTGACTGCAATTGGTTGGAAATGAAGGAAAAGCTCTTGTAACTAGAATGTTTGATAAACGACTGAATAAACAGAACTTGCTGTATAAATACTTTGTATGAATACATTTGAAAATGAATGTCTTTTGTGAAGGCCACTCCTTCATAGGCATCTTTTCCTAACAGTACAACAGCAAGGCTTTGGGAGATGTTCAACACTAATTGGCTGCCTTTGAAACTGATGCAAACACAGTTGCAGCCTATGTGAAAGACAACACATTTGTTTTTGTCAAAGGCAGAAATGTACATTTTTAAATCATGTTTTCGTAACTATGATTCCAGCTACATTACAGCCTGAGTATTGATTCAACCAAGAAGTTTGTTTTCCAAATGTGGTATTTATTTTGCCACATCTCCATGGGATTTCAGGAGTTGACAACTCCCAATAACAAGAATACATCAATAAGTGCTCACCTGGGAAGCAGACTAATGAGAAAGCGCTACACTCCTTTAATTCAATCTGTGGTAAGTGTCCAATATCTCTGAGTCTACCTCCTTACCCAGACAGGAATACATTACAATACATCTATCCTCTCATTCTGCTGTTTCTCATTCATGTTTTCCTCCTGTCGTGAGGGAAAGAAATAGATGGAGGATGAGAAAGAAACAAAGAGAGAATGTGTCTAATGCGGAAATGATCCTGTTCTGGATTCATTAGTGATTGCTATGCTGTGTGCTGCAGTGGCAGTAACTCATCCGGCTCTGTGACAGTCCTAAAGACAGAAACTAAAGACCCATTAGAGTACCCCCACCCAGCCCATACCTTACCCAGCCACATGGGGAGCCAGGGATGGATGAAGGTGTGAGAGGTGGCAAAAAAATAAGTTCATTTTGGCACCTTCCAAACTAGTAGGTAGGGATGGTGTGAGGATGACATAGTGTTATTGTTGTTTGGTTCCTACATACAAGGGCAGACTCAGTGGCTCGCAGTCAAACTGGTGGTCTCTCTCTGTAACCTGGACGACAGCCAGTGTGCATTCCAAATGGCACCCGATTTCCTTTTATAGAGCAGTACTTTTGACCAGAGCCCTATAAAGGGAATAGGGTGCCATTTGGGACACAGACATTGCACTCAGAAACATCAAAAAGAGTGCAGGATAGATCAAATCTCTACAATGGGACAGGGCAAATGTCCTCACAGAATCAGAGCATCTATGGCCAATCAGAGCATCTATGACCATCTATGGCTGGTTGGGTCGACTGATACAAAACTCACCACAAAGTTTGGTTTCTTTATTCAACTCTTCGATTTAAATAGATCCACATTACCTAACACATTTCAGCACATTATAAAACCACGTACGTACACTTCGATAATTATTCAACCAGACATTATGCCAGCAATGCTCCATCATCAATGCACAACACACCGCTCTGAGGTAACACACAGTTGTGTGTCTGAACATAACAGAGCTATACGCTATTAGCTTCAGCTCGAAACATCAACCTTGATCTGAGCTCCGGAGCAATGCACTTTCATCTACCCTCCATCGCATCACCGGCTCGGTGAGTCACCACCCCCCAACATACTACGACCCAGAAACACAAATCAAGAGTCCCAAATGAAAGAAAATAACAGATCAAAGGAGATGGAGAGATTTCAGGGGCTCCTTGACTTTATGAAAACGAAATGGGATTTTGATGTGGAAAGCTTCGACGGTATGCTATTAAACTGTGATGATTAGTCCGGTGTTGGAGGAGGTAGAGAGAAGTGAGGAGAGGGCTCTTCAAGTTAGGATTATGTAGTCGTATCTGTAGGCTTGTCTGTAGGCTCGTCTGTAGGCTCATCTGTGGGCTTGTCTGTAGGCTCCACGGTGTAATAACTGACATGCTGAAACTTGATCACCTCGTTGCCCCAGCTGGTCCATCCTGGCTGTAGGCTTCTGGCAAACAGCTCCAGGCACTGGGCGTCAGCACCCACGTACGGCCTTAACACCTCTGTGGAGGGAAACAAAGAAATAGAAGAGTGCTTAGGGCTGGTGTTTTGGTAGTGCTGCCGCCTGCGGACAGCAGGTACCCCTTGAGGCACAGGTTCGATCCCCAGTTCTGTCACTCAGTTTCTGAACTCTATTCCACTCATCTATCTCACATTCTAATATCTGTCAATGAAGAAGAGGATGGGAGTTCAAGAAAAATATGGTTTCATTTTTAGATGTCCTCAGAGAAGATTCGAAAAAATAGATTATTCTGATAGGCAGATCCTGCTCAGATTTGTAATTTCCATGGGGGTATTTAGTTGGTGCAGAAGGGGGAGTGGGGGCTTTATGTCTGGCTTGCCAATGAATGCTGGATTCGCGTGTGGGCATTCTGGCTGTCCTTGAGTGGAGGAACAATGGCTTTCCAGGAACAGCATTCCTGACCAATAGGGTTCACTTCATCTCCGCCCCTGTTCTGGGGCTGTCTGCTCATTCACATGCGTGCTCACGCCCCGCTCACACATGCCACTCACCCTACACTAGGCGGGTTAATGAGCGCCAAAACCCCAGAGTCTAAGCCCCCGTCCACCCCCCTCCTCAATCCCCCTAAACCTGCCCAGCCTACACACTCTCTTACGAAACACGTCAGAAAGACGTTGGGGGGGGGAGGCCAAAAATGAAAACCTCACAGACTAACACAGAAGAACCACTCTGATCGGTGACTCAGCTCTCAAAGTTTGGAGAGGGAATAAAAGGTCTAATTATCTCAAAACTCAAGGCAAGACACAAGAGGCAGGAGACTTGCCAGGCGGCTCAACGTAGCTCTATGTGATGTTTCTCTCAGTCATCTCAGTACTGCTGCCTTGAGTTTAGACCCTGCACATTCTGTGTAAATCCCAAATGGCATCCTATTCCCTATTTTAGTGCACTACTTTACACCAGGACTCATCAAAAGTAGTGAACTAAATAAGCAATAGGGTGCCGTTTGGGACACACCCTGTCAAACTGATCCTGGGACAGCCAGGTTAAGGGTATTGATGACAGCGCTGTTCTACTGCCCCACCTGATCGCAACCCATTCATTTTGAAAGTGAGGCATCTCAGGAAATGAATACTTTGAGCGATGGAGGTTATAAAACCACAAACATTCACAAATAATAAACTGCAGTGTGTGCGGTCCTGTGTGGCTCAGATGGTAAGTGCGTGGCCCTAGCAACGCCAAGATCAAGTCTCACAGGGAACATAAATATTGATTATCTCACTGTATTGTAAATCGGTTTGGATAAAAGTGTTTGCTAAAAGCAGTGGTGGAAAATGTACTCAATTGTCATACTTGAGTAAAAGTAAAGATACCTTAATATAAAACGACTCAAGTAAAAGTCATCCAGTAAAATAGTACTTGAGTAAAAGTCTAAAAATATCTGGTTTTAAATGTACTTAACTACAGTGGTGGAAAAAGTACTCAATTGTCATACTTGAGTAAAAGCTATACATCAAATTCCTTATATTACGCAAACCAGACGGCACAATGATTATTTCTTTTTTTGTATTTAGGAACAGACGGGCACAGATTATTTTTTTTACAAACGCAGTATTTGTGTTTAGGGAGTCCACCAGATCAGAGGCAGTAGGAATGACAACGCGTTATATTGATAGGTGCGTGAATTGGAGCATATTGCTGTCCTGCCTGAGCATTCGAAATATAGCGAGTACTTTTGGGTGTCAGGGAAAATGTATAAAGAGTAAAAAGTACATATTTTCTTTAGGAATATAGTAGAGCAAAAGTTGTCAAAAATATAAATAGTAAAGTACAGATACCCCCAAAAACTACTTAAGTTGTACTTTAAAGTATTGTTACTTATGTACTTTACACCACTGGCTAAAAGTGGTGGAAATGTGTGTAGGAATACTGTACATATATCACCTTACTCAGCCCCTCCAGCTGTGAGTGAGTAAAGTTATTTTCCCTGCCTTTCACCTCCCCAAGGCGGCAGCTAGCCTAGTGGTTGAAGCCGGTAAGATGAAAAATGTGTCAGTGTGCCCTTGAGCAAGGCACTTAACCCTAATTGCTCCAGGGTCAAGTTGGGATATGCAAAAAAACTTTTCCGAATCACACACACACACTTGTACATGTGAAATACGACAAATATAAAATCACCCACCAATATCTCAGGTTCTGCTCTGAGTTTAACAGTAACACAACTTTTCACCAGTCAATTAGAATCTCACACACGCTGGCTGGGTGCCAGTGCATCGGGCGGGCATGAGGAGGGCACAGCCAATTAGCCGCTGATTACAATACAATGCTGGGAGGATGATATTCAACTTTAGCCAATTACCAAAGTTTTTAGGAGCCGCAATTAAAAGCAAACAGATTATTCACACTCCGAGGAGCATAAACACTTTTTTTCTGTAGTTTCGGCCATCTGGCGAGGATGTGTTTGGATCTCTGCGGAGGAGAGAGAGCGTTGGTGTCCCTCTGCGCCCCTATTGCAGCCACACACACGCACGTCTGATGTCACTGGGGGAGAGGGGGTAGAGAGCTATCGGATCACAGGGTCACTCTCCGCTCCGCCCTCTGTGTTTAGGACATCCGCTGTGATGTCATACCGAGGTCAGGGGTAAGGAGTTGGCCACTGCCTCCAGACCTGGCACATCCAAACACATGGACTGCATACACCACTAGTGCTCCAATCCCCTAACAGGGATAATGCCCTGTGGTAACAGTGACTGAGGAAGAGGACTTCATCGTGTTTTAGAGGGGGGTGGTTTAGAGACTTGGCACTGTTGATATTCACCATTTCAAGCTGTTGCATAAGAATCCACCAGAGGGGGTGTGAGAAAAGGACAGCAGCCTAATTCCTTTTCCCGCCCCTGGGTACTACAGAGTGAATATTCAGCATTAATGCCCACGTCCGGATGTTCCTTTTTGCCAACGGGTCGATAAAACCTTTCAGGATCAAAAAAGGTCCGTTCTATGCCTCTTTATCATGGGTTATTTTAATGTGCCGTGGCACCTCTCTGCGGGACCAGCTCCTCTGACATTTCATCCCAGCAGCACTGCGTTCTACCACGCCCACTCCCACCACAGCCTCCCTGCTACTCAGAGGGGTTGGAGGGGGATTCGCTGGAAGGCCAGAGACAGGGATGAGAAGGGGATGACGTCACCAAAAAGTGATATATAAAAACACAAAAATTCAGAATGACAGCGGCTCAAATTATGATGGTTACTTGGCAAGTGTGAAATACTAGACAGTTGACTTATCAATCATGGCTGGGAAAAAACTATTTATCCTGCTATACTATGGAGCAGGTCTACGCATGTCTGGGTTTTCCCTGAGTATCACACTGTTTTGCTGCAACTCTTGCCAAAGATAGTGTTCAATTATTTTATTTGAACAATGAAAAGACAAAGCTATGAAACAAAGAGTAACTAGACTCATAATATATTCTCAACCCAATAGTTAAAGCGCAAGACTTCTACAATGTAGTCATAATGAATTTAAATCTCAGAATATCATGCCACTTTCCCAGAATCATCTTGTATATTCAGCTGACAGGGCACTGACAAACCTCTTCCTCCCCAAGTAAATAAAAAGCGCAATAAATCGCTTTCCCTGAAGAAGCAGAGAGTTGATGTCAAGCCCCACTCATTCATAGACTCTACATAATCATTGTCTTCAAGGTCTCATCATTGCTTTCTAAACAACATTGTATGGATCAGAGCAAAGGTTTGACTCGTTAACAATCAAAGGCAAATCAGACCGTACAGACAACCACACCACAGAAGTGTTTTAAGTTTCAATCAGGCATTTGTAAACTGTCGCAGGGCGTGAATTCAATTCATGGGTGTATAATGCAGCACATCGTGACAAACTGTGTTTACAATTAGCCATTGGAACAGGTTAGAGCACAGACCCTGCAGCTCATGTCCTTCAGTTTAATAGCAAGGCATTGTCTTGTGCTTTTAGTGAGTGAGGGAGAGTCAGAACAGAGCACTGATAGTTAGAACCAGGTCAAAACGCAGCAATCGCGGTCACTTATGTCACAGCATTGCCCTCTAGTGGTGAAACTCTGTTCAGTTGAACTATTTCTCCAATTATGAATTTCATTACTGGAACTTTATTAATTCATTCCTACGCACTTGTCTACCACATTACGTTCTTATGACACTGACATACTTATGACGTGTTGGTGGAACCAGGACGTGTTGGGAATACTGACCTGAGAGTGAAGGTTTATGGGAGTGTAGGGCTGATGGGACACTGACAATCACACGCTGCTCCTCCATAGGGAGCTCGGTCTTCCTCAGAGAGCTGTAAAGGAGATGGAGAAAGCACATCATGTTTTGGAAGAGATCAAATGTTCCAGTAATGAAAGAAAATACACAGAAGACTTAAGGTCCAATACAGCTGTTTTTCTCTCAATATTAAATCATTTCTGGGTAACAATTAAGTACCTTACAGTGATTGTTTTTAATTAAAATGGTCAAAAATAAACAAAAATAGCTTCTTAGCAAAGAGCAATTTCTCAAGCAAGAATTTTGCTAAGACTGTCTGGGAGTGTTCTGAGTGAGGAGGGGAAAACTGAAAACTAACTGTTACTGGCAGAGAGGTTTGTAACTCTTTCTTATTGGTCTATTAACTAATTTACCGCCTGGTGATGTCACCAGACAGGACAAAACTCAATCCCACCAAAACAGGCTGAAATTTCAGTGCAATTTCAAACAGCTCTTACACTAAAAGGGCATTATCATTTTCACCGTATTATTCCAACCTCAGTGTGGAAATACTGTATATATAAAATCACATTTTTGACTGCACCAGGCCTTTAAGCAATTCATGTGAAAAATGTAATCCATTGTCACACCTGGGTGAGTGGTGTCCACACCCACGATATCGACCAAGTACCAACACCTCGTAAGGCTTCTTATGTGGAGAGTCCAGTGGAAACACATATTCCCCTGACCTGGTGACCTGAGGGAGAAAACACAGACAATACATCAGAGAAAATGTATGCAAATGTTCATAAAGATTATATTGCTAATTTCTGAAACAAACAACGTTAGAGGTCCTAGATGAAACATGACCACTTTTTACCACCACCATTTATTAGTGTCATTTAAACTAAATAATGACTTTGATCAATTCTAGGTTCCTTTGTGTTCTACCTTGACCCAGAACCACTCTGCCAGCACCTCCACGCCCCAGTGTGGGTACAGCTCATCCCTGACAAAGCGCAGGTGGCTGGGCCTGTTGGTCACCCAGGTGACCACCACACAGCCCGTGGAGGTCAGCAGGGGGACAGGGAGCCGTTTGAGCTGGGAGGAGGGCAGAAAGCTATACCTAGAGGTCAACAGGAGAAATACACAATATGGTCAAAACAGAATTGGAGGTTCACAGAGTCATACATTGCAGTGGATGTTGCTTGGAATAAAATCACACTGAAAGAGAATGCCATTTAAGCTAACCTGCCGCTCCTTTTGACAGACTTGTTTTCCCATGGAGGATCCAGGACAATGAGGTCGAACAACTTTCCATCTGCAAAATAATCCATTTTCTAAGACAGGGTTTCCCAAACTCGTCCTGGGGCCTCTTCTGGGTGCACGTTTTGGTTTTTGCCCTAGCACTACACAGCTGATTCAAATAATCAACTCATCATTAAGCTTTGATTATTTGAATCAGCTGTGTAATGCTAGGGGGGGAAAAATTATTCACCCCGGGGGGGCCCAGGACCGAGTTTGGGAAACCCTGCTCTAAGACATAGGCCTACACAGGCAGAGAGGATCCTTATTTAGTTCACTGAAGCCTTGCCTTCTCGCCACTCGATTCCTCAACACATTTTTAGAGTTGTAATGATTTATAAAGATAATGTATTTCTGCACTAACAAAACATACATCAGCAAAAGTAAGCTGTTTATCATGATCAGGTTTTGTACACACTCACAGCCAACCAGGGGCTGCATTCTGGCAAAATCTGAGAGCAGGAAGGCACATCGTGGTGGGATAATGTAATTCTCTCCCATCAGCGTCACCTCCATGGCACAGTCCATACAATTCTCTGTGATCCGTGTGAACAGGTCAAGGTGTGTTGTACTGCAGCCATCCTCAGACCCAATGAACTGAACTGGGTCCTCTCCATGTTCACTCACTAGAGGGAGCTCTTTAGCCATGTCACACAAGGCTGCCAGGTTACATTCCTGGGAAGGCAGGGGATCCTCCTGAGCATCTTTGGCCTCACTCAGGTACCCACAGGAGAGCCCAGCATCCACCAAGGATTTGGTCCCCTCCAAAATGGCAAACCTGATCTGGTCATAACACAATGATAAGCAGTGGTCAACAATTAAAAGTCTGTGAGTAATGGTAATGGGTAAACTAAGTAATGGTAAACAAATAAGATTACCTTGTGGTGGAAGGCCAGTGAATCAATTTCTCCTTGGTTCAGATCATTGCGTTTTCTTTTCTGTAGGATTGAATAAATCAAAGATCAGTGGTTAAAACAAATGCTGCAAACGAGTTTCAAGGCAATATTACCTGGCAGGCCAGCAAGTTAGCTTCACTCTCCAGACAGACATGTCTAGCCAAGTCTAGGACCAAAAGGCTTCTTAACAGCTTCTACCCCCAGGCCATAAGACTCCTGAACAGCTAATCAAATGGCTTCCCGGAGTATTTGCATTGACCTGCTCCTCTCTGTTTATTATCTATACATAGTCACTTTACCTCTACCAACATGTACATATTACCTCAATTAACTTTGCCCCAGCACATTGACGCTGTACCGGTATCCCCTGTATATTGCCTCATTACAATTATTTTATTGTTGCTCTTTAATTATTTGTATTTTTTACTTCAGTTTATTTTAGTAATTACTTTAACACTTATTTTTCTTAAAACTGCATTGTTGGTTAAGGGCTTGTAAGTAAGCATTTCACTGTAAGGTCTACACCTGTTGTATTCGGCGCATGTGACACTTATTTGATTTGAGACGTACATACATATAAAGAAATAGACAGCCCCCCCCCGCCATTTACCTTTGACGGTTTACAATCCACTGAAGTGTTATTCTCACTCCTCTGTAGCACTGCGTCCGAGACGGCACTGTCGTTTGTGGTCACAGTACAATAGTCTTTAACGCGAACGTGAGACTTTAAAATCTGAAAACACTCATGTTTAAAACAACATTTAAAATACGACTTTCCACTGGCTGATTTTCTCTCCGAAGTACATAGTTGGACACCCTGATCGACAAGTGAACAAGCGTCCAACAGCAACCCGTTGGCATTTCTAAACACAACCGACATAGCCAGTCTGGTTGGCAAACTACTCTCTACTAACTCTCTCTTTGATATCTTTACATGCCGTGAGTGTCCATAAGCGTACCTTGTGGAGGTGACTGACTTGCTTGCTACTTACTCAACACATTTCGTTTCTTTGCTGGGTTTTCTGTGCGCCGCCATGATGCTTGTTTGTCACGTGCATTCGCCAAACCTGGAGCATATTCATTACGCCAATTCTGTTGCAAAACGTTTCTTAAACGGAAGGAAACAGAACTAAACCAGGAGGGACATAACTGAATTTGTCGGATATAAACCCTTGTTTTGCTCCATTTGCTTCTGTTTGGTTCGGTAAACAGTTTTCGTAACTTATACATCCAGAGTACACCCCAGGCGCCGATTCCGTTGCAAAACGTTTCGTTTGCTTCCTAGAGTAACAGACCAAACGTTTAACGGAATTTGACCAATGAATACACCCCAGCGCGCGCGTTTCCACAGCCACAATGTCAAAATTGGCTATATCCTAAACAAATTAGGAAAACAAATGTTGATATTTCGTCTAAATTTTTAAGCTTATAGTTAGGCATAATGTCAGCAGTGTGGTTAGGGTTAGTGTGAAAATAAATTGTAGAAATAGGCGGGGTTTATGATTTTGTGGAAGCTAGTAACGACCCAGCTCACGCAGTAGATACACAGTACATTGCGCATACTCACAACTTCTTTCACCTGAAGAAGAAACATGGCGGAGTCGGGAGATGTGACAACGTCTGCCATTGCCAATAGTTGTAGAACACAAACTTTACAGAGTAAAAATGGAGTTAACGGGTCTGATAAACCACATAAACGAGTGGTAGTATTCGACTGTCGCCCGGAAAGAGACGTCGATGCAACGGAGAGAGTTCTGGACATAAATGGCTTGGACTTCAACGACTTCCTTCAATTTGTATCAAAGGTGCAGTAGCTAGCTAGCTAGCTAACGTCGTTAGTTATGCAGAGATATGTTAGCCAGGCAGCTGCCTGCTTGATTGCAAATTTGCAACAGCTGGCTCTTGACAATTAATGAGTTCCCACCATGCTTGGAATTAACTAACTAGCTCACTCAGATAGCTTGGCTAGATAGCCGACATGGCCGATCGTGGCAAATGTATTGATCCATAATATTCGTAGCTGTCATATTTGCCAATTTAATGTTTTAATTAAATTGTTAATAGCTTTCTAGCACGTTATAAACAAGTTGTCCCATTTGTTGTTGTCACATTTGTTGTGAATACGATATCTAAACCATTCACCAAATTATAAAAACGTGTCATATCTGCAGAGGTAGATATACAACTATTTCCCATGTGTTCTCGCCTTAGGAATTTGCCATTCCTTCCAACGAAACGTTTGTCTTGACAACAACTGACAGAAAAGGAATAGATTTGGACAGATATGGTAAGTGACATTCCAGTCAGGGCTACCTGGTGTAGTGCTAGAAAGAAATGCCGAAATGCCAGACCAATTTTTAATTTATAATTAAAAAAGGGCACATGGCTTGGATTAATCAGTGTAACATGTTTTTGGTATAATAATAGTCAGGCATTGGGTCACAAATAAGCCTTTATACAAGGGGAATAAGAGATGAGTGACAGTAAGTTATGTTGCTGATGTGTCATCTCTTTCAGAGGAACTTCAACAAGGAAACACTCTCCACCTGTTGCAGAGCGAGGACCAGACCCTGCCCGCAGCAACTAAGGAACACATTGTGTTCCTCCCTCACTACGATACACTGGTCCAGAGTGGCATGTATGAGTACTATGCTAGTGAGGGCCAGAAGTCTTTACGTGAGTGCCTCTGAAATACTGTACCTTCTCCAGCCCAAACCAACAATATACAGTCCTGTTTGTATTCATTAGCCGTGTTCACACTGCCCCACACTGAATAAAATGTCTATGCTCAGCACTTATGACCAATTTTCTACTCTGTGAGGCTTTGTGGATATGGGCCCCGGGCTAATTATGACCCAGAAGAAGCGGCGTTAAAGGGCCTATCGTTTCCTATAGTTAATTAAAGCTTTGTTCCCCCCCCTCCCAGCGTATGCCTTTGCAGAACTAATCGACAATGCACTGTCAGCGACATCGCACAACACAGGAGTGAGGACCATAGACATCCGATTGGTGAGATACTACAGCTTTTTTTCTCTCCCAATTTTTTTTTTCTAACTGTTGTAAACCTCACATGCGTAATTGTGGTCTTGAATGAAAGTGATGCATACATATTGTGATGTGCTTTCTTATAAAGGTCTGTGTTCTGCACCCCTACAGTATTGATGGAATGGGATACAACGGTAGTTGATTGTTTCTCATCTCTTCCCCCAGCTGTTTGATGAGTCCTTGGGGAAACATGCAGTGGTTATCATGGACAACGGCTGTGGAATGACCTCCAAGCAGCTTAATAACTGGGCTGTGTACAGGCTCTCCAAATTCAGCAGGGAAACCGGCACGTTTTCAAGGTTGGTTTATCAAGAGTAGGGCCGGGAGTTTTTCCACATCACATGATCTGACCTGTTCAGATCAGGTCATGCGGTCAGACCCGTCTCAATGACCCACAGTAAATGTAAATTAAAATGCACTTTCCAAATAAATAAATACGAGTATACACTTGAAATTAGTTTTTGGTACTTTCCATTTATCTGTCGTCAGTGATCCTGTTTGTCTCACTAGTGATCACGCTGGGTATGTTCGTCCTGATCCAGTCCCTCGCAGTCTCAACAGTGATATATCATATTTTGGAGTAGGAGGGAAACAAGCAGTGTTCTACATTGGACAGTCAACCAGGGTAAATGTAGAATTATTGGCCATTGTTCCTCTTGTGTTCTACCATATTCCCCTAATGGACTGTGATGCGCTACTATGTGACTTGATATCTCTGTCTTTGTTAAAGATGATCACCAAACCAGCGGGCTCCCCAGATGTCCATGAACTCATCATTTCAAAAGAAGAGTTTGAGAGGAAGGAGCGGAACAAGGAAGATATTTATAGTGGTTTTATCAGAAACCGGAAGGTAAGGGATTACTCCCAGATCACTCAAAATGGTGATGTGATCCCCAAAAGGTGTCCTCAATCCATCCATTCTGGAACTGTCAGTATCGGGGGCCAACTGCTGTACCCTTCCCTCAGTGGCCATCCTCTATGTAATGACAGCCATGTTCAATCCTCCACCCCGCAGATGGGTGACTCGTCCCACGTGAGCGACGACGAGGAGCGCTTCCTCCACGGGCTGATCTCTGAGGAGGTGGGAAAGGACAGCTTCACGGCCGTGGTGGTGACGGGGGTCCAGCCTGAACACATCACCTTCCTCAAGCAGGACTTTCACCTGTGGACTAGAGAACTGGCGTGAGTCTGCTCACCCACCTGACTTGCCCAATATTAATTAATTAATGAGACAAGGTCTAAGGACATTCCATAGCGACAGCGTGTGAGATAAGTCATGGTCCAATGACTATACCTGCTAGCAGCATGTCACGCGTCCGAAGCTACATCCATAATCGGTAGATTGGAGAATCGCCCTTTGCATCGCCGAGCAGCAAACAATTAACTATTAAATCAAGTTTTTAGATGCTACCCCCCTCCCCAAATCAAATTTAATATGGATGCCTATGTTTTTTTTCTGGCTTTGGCGCACACCTTTCCTGTACTTCCCATCTTGGACAGCATGGTGCCCGTATTGCGAGGCTGATTAACTAGACAAACAGGTATGAAACACCGACCAGTGTACACGCAAAGTGAGAACACAACATATAATCCATGTTTGGTGTTGATTTCGGGAGGGGGCATCTAAACTGGATTTAATAGTTTCTTGTTCACTGCTCGGTGACGCAAACAGTGGTTCTCCAATTGGAGTCGTCTACCGATATTATGGATGTAGCTTCGGACGCGGGACACATGCTGCTAGCAGGTACGGTCATTGGACCATGACTTATCTTGCATGCTTTCATTATGGAATGTCCTTAAACCTCGTCTCATTAATTAGAGGTCTAATATTGGGATACCACCTGACCTGCACCATCCCAAATACCCACCACCACCTTTCAATCCGATTGGTTGTTGTCGTCTTTAGATATTACTCTTTGAACAAATTATAGAAATGACAATCTGCTTTGTTTACAGCCACTTGTATCACTATTACATTCACGGCCTAAATGGGAATGACATGAAAGCCTCCTACCGAAACTCTGATTGTGTCTCCAACATTGACATTCAGGTGAGAAGGTCATTGCATTTAAGTGACTATTTTTATTAAATAACCATGTAATTATGTTTTATTTTATGGTAGTGCTACAGACAATAGTCATCAATCTTTGAAGTTGTCTGTTTTATAACTATAGTTTTGTGATACTATATTGATATTTATCTGCTGTTCAGATCTCTCTGCTGGAGAAGTTCCCCAAGATCCCTCGCATGGTGAACCTCAGAGAGATCGACAACGATATGCAGACGCTCTACATCAACGCATCGGCTGACACGTTCGAGTTCAAGGCCTGCACAGACAATGAAGGAACAGTGGAGGGGGTCCTGAGGTACCACCCCTTCCTCTATGACAGGGAAACCTACCCTGAAGACCCTTACGCCATACAAGGTAACCTAGACTGTACCCTATTCCCTATATAGTGCACTACTTTTGACCAGAGCCCAATATGCATTGACAGCTGTGTGTAAGAGGGTTGCTGTCAGATGTTTGGACACATTGGTCACGGTCAAGTTTTTAAAGCGCAGTAGGTTACAGTTAAGCTTTTAAGGTCATGAAAATCAAAAAATGTAAAAGCTCATATTCTGTTTGCTCATACCTCAATAATGTTGTTGACTCGTCTTTTACTAGTTGTGGCCAAAGCATAAATTAGAGAACCCACTCGGAAAACTTATTTTTGAAACAAACCATCAAAAATGCTTGAAATTGGCTTGGAGAATGACATCATTCTCCAGTGGGGAAAATGAGATTAGGGGAGACACAGGCTCAGGAGGGCGCACAAGCTAGTTAGCAAGCCAAGCGATCCACAGCTTGTGTTAGTTGTTGTATAGGCTTTGTCCTCTTTCCTATCTCGCCAGTCACTTCTATTTCAAACAGAAATATAAACACAACTTTTAACAATTTCAAAGATTTTACTGAGTTACAGTTCATATAAGCAAATCAGTCAATTGAAATAAATTCATTAGGCCCTAATCTATGGATTTCACATGACTGGGAATACAGATATGCATCTGTTGGTCACAGATATACCTTTAAAAAAAAGTAGGGCCGTGGATAAAAAACTAAAACAGTCAGTATCTGGTATGACCACCATTTGCCTCATGCAGTTCTACACATCTCCTTCGCATAGTTTATCAGGCTGTTGATTGTGGCCTGTGAAATGTTGTCCCACTCCTCTTCAATGGCTGTGTAAAGTTGCTGGATATTGGCGGGAACTGGAACGCTGTCGTACACGTCGATCCAGAGCATTCCAAAAATGTGCTCAATGGATGACATGTCTGGTGAGTATGCAGGCCATGGAATAACTGGGACATTTTCAGCTTCCAGGAATTGTGTACAGATCCTTGTGACATGGTGGCCGTGCATTATCATGCTGAAACATGAGGTGATGGCGGCGGATGAATGGCACGGCAATGGGCTTCAGGATCTCGTAACGGTATCTCTGCATTAAAATTGCCATCGATAAAATGCAATTATGTTCATTATCTGTCACTTATGCCTGCCCATACCTAAACCCCTCCGCCACCATGGGGCACTCTGTTCATATCGTTGACATCAGCAAACCGCTCGCCCACACGACGCAATACAGGCTGTCTGCATGCTGCCTGGTACAGTTTTAACCGGGATTCATCTGTGAAGAGCACACTTCTCCAGCGTGCCAGTGGCCATCGAAGGTGAACATTTTCCTACTGAAGTCGGTTACGATGCCGAACTACGGTCAGGTCAAGACCCTGGTGAGGACGACAAGCACGCAGATGAGCTTCCCTGAGACTTTCTGACAGATTGTGCAGAAATTATTCGGTTTTGCAAACCCACAGTTTCATCAGCTGTCCGGGTGGCTGATCTCAGACGATCCCGCAGGTGAAGACGCAGGATGTGGAGGTCCTGGGATGGCGTGGTTACACGTGGTCTGCAGTTGTGAGTCCGTTTGAATGTACTGCAAAATTCTCTAAAACGACATTGGAGGCGGCTTATGGTATTGTCCCCACACAAGGTGCTTCTGTGTAATGATCATGCTGTTTAATCAAGTTGTTGATATGCCACACCTGTCAGGTGGATGGATTATCTTGACAAAGGAGAAATGCTCCCTAGCAGGGACGTAAACAAATTTGTGCACAACATTTGAGAGAAATAAGCTTAATGTGCATAAGGAACATTTCTGGGATCTTTTATTTAAGCTCATGAAACATGGGACCAACACTTTACATGTTGCGTTCATATTTTTGTTCAGTGTATGTGGTTTGTAAGAATTGGCCTGTTGGCTGTTTTTAGAAGCCGTAGTAAAGCTAGCGTTCTAACGTTAGCTATTAAGGTTAACTAAGTTAGCTGGGTAGCCAACAAGAAAGCAAGCCAAAGCAGATCCATCACACAACCAACTCGCCGTTCCCTTCTATTTGAAATCCTGTGGAAACCTAGTTAGCTGTAGTTGACTGATATATATACAGTGCCTTCGGAAAGTTTTCAGACCCCTTGACTTTTTCCACATTTTGTTACGTTACAGCCTTATTCTAAAATGGATTAAATTGTTTTTTTCCCTCATCAATCTACATACAATACCCCATAATGACAAAGCAAAAATAGTTTTTTAGACATTTTTGCAAATGTATTAAAAATAAAAAAGTGAAATATTACATTTACATAAGTATTCAGACCCTTTACTCAGTACTTTGTTGAAACACCTTTGGCAGCAATTACAGCATAGTCTTCTTGGGTATGACCGTACAAGCTTGGCACACCTGTATTTGTGGAGTTTCTCCCATTCTTCTCTGCAGATCCTCTCAAGCTCTGTCAGGTTGGATGGGGAGCATTGGTGCACATCTATTTTCAGGTCTCCAGAGATGTTAGATCGGATTCAAGTCCGGGCTCTGGCTGGGCCACTCGAGGACATTCAGAGACTTGTCCCGAAGCCACTCCTGCGTTGCCTTGGCTGTGTGCTTAGGGTCGTTGTCCTGTTGGAGCGAAGGTTCACCTTCCAGTCTGAGGTCCTGATCGCTGAAAAACATCCCTGCAGCATGTTGCTGCCACCACCATGCTTCATCGTAGTGATGGTACCAGGTTTCCTCCAGACGTGATGCTTGGCATTCAGGCCAAAGAGTTCAATCTTGATTTCATCAGACCAGAGAATCTTGTTTCTCATGGTCTGAGAGTCTTTAGGTGCCTTTTGGAAAACTCCAAGCGGGCTGTCATGTGCTTTTACTGAGGAGTGGCTTCCGTCTGGCCACTCTACCATAAAGGTCTGATTGGTGGAGTGCTGCAGAGATGGTTGTCCTTCTGGAAGTTGCTCCCATCTCCACAGAGGAACACTAGTGCTCTGTGAGTGACCATCAGGTTCGTTGTCACCTCCCTGACCAAGGCCCTTCTCCCCTGATTGCTCAGTTTGGTTGGGTGGCCAGCTCTAGGAAGAGCCTTGGTGGTTCCAAACTTCTTCCATTTAAGAGTGATAGAGGCCACTGTTTTTGGGGACCTTCAATGCTGCAGATATTTTGGTACCCTTCCCCAGATCTGTGCCTCGACACAATCCTGTCTCAGAGCTCTACGGACAATTCCTTTAACCTCATGGCTTGGTTTTTGCTCTGACATGCTCTGTAAACTGTGGGAACTTTATATAGACAGGTGTGTGCCTTTCCAAATCATGTCCAATCAATTTAATTTACCACAGGTGGACCCCAATCAAGTTGTAGAAACATCTCAAGGATGGTCAATGGAAACAAGATGCACCTGAGCTTAATTTCAAGTCTCATAGCAAAGGGTCTGAATACTTATGTAAATAAGCTATTTCTGTTTTTATTTTTAATACATTTGCTAAAATGTCTAAACTGTTTTCGCTTTGTGATTATGGGGTATTGTGTGTAGATTGCTGAGGAAGATGTTTTATTTAATCCATTTTAGAATAAGGCTGTAACAAATTGGAAAAAGTCAAGGGCTCTGAATACTTTCCGAAGGCACTGTATGTAGCAGAAGTTAGCTAGCTAGCCTAGCTCCTAGCAATAACAACTTGCTAGCTAGCGGTCTGCATTAATTGCTGTTGTAGTAAAGTGCCCTAGTAGTTCCATCATGTTAACAAATCCTGAATTAATCCATACCATTTGACTACAGGCAGTAAGTAGCCTTCGGTATTGGTAAAATAAAAAAAGGAAGACTGCTAGGCCGTGCGTGCAGCCCTGCCTCACGTAGAGTTGGTAGCTAATTTGAATACCCAAGTGTATGCGTGTCTCATTGGTATACGCCCAAACCGGAGTTTCTACTCAGGCCAAGCAGGGGCACAGAGAAAAGCTGCTTTTTAACATCCTTAATTATCTTTTTTTGGGAAGGACATCTATTAAATTAATATTGTCATTTTAGGTGAATATTTCATATAACTCTTGAACACTGGAGAGATGCTTTAAATCACAGTAGGCCCTGTAAGATCATAAGTCAGGGGTTACCATACTTATTTTTTTGTCACAACCCCAACCATGTGAAAACATTATGTAATTAACAGCCAATGTTTACTTATTTTATTTGGGGCTATGGCAGTCATTTGAAAATCATTCTAACAGTATTTCTGATTGTCTTCTCAACTCACCATCACATACTTTTAACGTGGGGCTTTGACAGTTATCTCACCACCACTAATGAGATGGGTGTGCTTGATGCATGTCGCATCGGAGCTTCTCAAAGTTGGAGGGCGTGGTCGACAGTGCACAATTAATCTCTGTCACATCCAACCTGGATCGATATTTGGTTTTAATGCAAACGAGAGCACTGAATCCAGCTTCAAACAGATATGAGCTGGCGAAGGGTACCTTGAGTTTTATGGTGCTTTCAAGACAAGTGGGAACTCAGAAAAATACAAGGTCAAATTATGACGTCAATGATCTTCAGGTCGGAAAGCCAGAGCTCTAGAAAGAGGCCCGAGTTCGATGACCGTTCAAAATGTTTTTTCCCAGTCGGAGCTATTACAAAAAAATTTCCCCAGTTGTCTTGAACGGACTGAAGTCAGATTTCCCAGTTCTGAGTTTCCAGTTGTTTTGAACACTGCATTAATGCTCAGAGGGAAACGGCAGTGTATTCCCTTTTGAGTCAGGAACCAAAACTCCTACGTAGTGACCCGTGAACGCATTGTCTGCAACATCTATCACATGATGGCTCAATTAGCTGTTCGATTCTACTGATCCAGGATCGCAGTCAAACTGATTGGGAAGTAGGTCCCCAAGTGCTATTCCAAATGTTGGAGGTGAGCAGTCATCAATCGTGTGGGACACTTAATGATGCTGTTTTCTGTTAGAATTCTGCACAGCCGAGGGATTGGTTTGCTTTTGAAAGACTCCTCTGAATCCACTGATTAGTCACTCATCTGTAGAATGTTTTTGTATTTCCCCTCATGCTTGCGTTCAGTTGGTTCAGTTTCCCAAATGTCTCTTACATCATTTTCTTTTCATTACACAGAAAGTCAAGTATTTTTTATTTATTTTTACATCCAGTGTGAATGACAACAGTTACACTCTCAATGCGAGAAATCTTTACAACACCCCCCCTCAATAACCACCAAGCCTCAGTAATAAAATAGAACATTGTCATGCTCTGATCCCATATCTCCACATAGTTTTGCGAACAAGCGTGCGTGCAGTGGATGTGGTTTGATGTAGTTTACAATTGAAGTTACCTGCTGCAGTATATCTCAGAGTTCTGTGCTCAGCTCTTTTGCTGCCAGTTGCTCTCGGGGGTATCATACAATGCGTCCATATGGCAGTGGGAGACCAATTCATAACGAGAGTGCAGATGCCTGCCCGCTGTCCAGCCATAGATGGAGCAAAAGCCCACCATTTTCGATCTGCTTTTCGAGAAAATAGTCACGCAGCACACTGAACATCACCTGTGCCATTTTATACTCTGGAATCACGAGACGGAACAATATATCCTTGTGAATAGCATCCCCCGACATGTATTGCAAACAAAAGTCAATGCATGGCCATCTCGGCCCTCACAGCTAACGTCCATTTGTAGAGCATTAGCTGGGGAGTTTGTCATTCAGTCAGTTTCCTCTTGATTGCTAGCAATAGCATAAATTATTTGTTTAACAGTGTTATCTGACAAAGGTATTGATGTGAGTTTCTATGCCTCTGCCTCCCCACACAGTTTTCACCATATCAATTGCGGACGGTAATATCAAAGTCACTGCAATACTGTGTGGTTTCATAGCGTAGTGGGCCTAGCCATTCACAGTGGGAATGATTCAAGTGCGGCCTTTTCCCATGATCTAAGGGCGCTCTGTGGTTTAATTTTAGATTTGAATCATTTTCATTTGGATTTTTAAGGTTAATCACATTACGAAGATTTTGAGAGATATATACACACACACACAGTATATTATAAAGGTTTTTGTATTAGGGCTGACCCCGTTTGGTCGATAGGCTGTTGGTCGACCGAGATTACTTTGGTCGAACAGTAGCAAAAAAATGAAAAAGTAATGGTGTACAAGACACCTGTCTAATTTGCACTTGTCTGAGTGGATTAATCCTTTTTGAAGGCCATGGGGAAGGCACTGAAATGGTATATGGTTATATTATGTAAGAACAATGGTGCAACACTAATAAATATAACATTTTATAACAAATGCGCTTTCTCCTGCGTTGAATAGCGGTCGCTGTCCGTGGTTCTGAAACACATCAGTGCGCTGTTGAATTGGTGCCTTTTCCTAGACCATGTTGCTATGTGTATAATAGCAAAGTTAACCAGCATACTGGTGTTGAGGACAATGCGACAGAGGTAGCAGCGGAGTTAGGAGACGAGAAAACAGCCCTTGCCTTAATTGCCTAAGAAAAGTGAGGGGCGAGGAAACTAACTTAATTAGGTCTATAATCAATAGCCTAACTGTTAAATGTGCCTGGCTTTATAAATGGCATTCTCTCAACCAACTTCACCTGGAATGCTTTTCCAACAGTCTTGAAGGAGTTCCCACATATGCTGAGCACTTGTTGGCTGCCTTTCCTTCACTCTGTGGTCCAACTCATCCCAAACCATCTCAATTGGGTTGAGGTCGGGTGATTGTGGAGGCCAGGTCATCTGATGCAGCACTCCATCACTCTCCTTCTTGGTCAAATAGCCCTTACACAGCCTTGAGTTGTGTTGGGTCATTGTCCTGTTGAAAAACAAATGATAGTCCGACAAAGCTCAAACCAGATGGGATGGCGTATCGCTGCAGAATGCTGTGGTAGCCATGCTGGTTAAGTGTGCCTTGAATTCTAAATAAATCACAGACAGTGTCACCAGCAAAGCACCTCCACACCATCACACCACCTCCATGCTTCACAGTGGGAACCACACATGCAGAGTTCATCCGTTCACCTACTCTGCGTCTCATAAAGACACGGCGGTTGGAACCAAAAATCTCAAATTTGGACTCCGACTAAAGGGCAGATTTCCACCGGTCTAATGTCCATTGCTTGTGTTTCTTGGCCCAAGCAAGTCTCTTCTTATTGGTGTCCTTTTAGTAGTGGTTTCTTTGCAGCAATTCGACCATGAAGGCCTGATTCACACAGTCTCCTCTGAACGGTTGATGTTCTGATGTGTCTGATACTTGAACTCTGAAGCGTTTATTTGGGCTGCAATTTCTGAGGCTGGTAACTCTAATGAACTTATCCTCTGCAGCAGAGGTAACTCTGGGTCTTCCTTTACTGTGGCCGTCCTCATGAGATCCAGTTTCATCATAGCGCTTGATGGTTTTTGCAACTGCACTTGAAGAAACTTTCGAAGTTCTTGAAATGTTCCGTATTGACTGACCTTCATGTCTTGAAATAATGGACTGGTGTTTCTCTTTGCTTATTTGAGCTGTTCTTGCCATAATATGGTATTTTACCAAATAGAGCTATCTTCTGTATACACCCCCTACCTTGTCACAACACAACTGATTGGCTCAAACGCATTAAGGAAAGAAATTCCACAAATTAAGTTTTTAAGAAGGCACACCTGTTAATTGAAATGCATTCCAGGTGACTACCTCATGAAGCTGGTTGAGAGAATGCCAAGAGTGTGCAAAGCTGTCATCAAATCAAAGGGTAGCTATTTGGAGAATCTCAACTCAAATATATTTTGATATGTTTAACACTTTTTTGGTTACTACATGATTCCATATGTGTTATTTAATAGTTTTGATGTCTTCACTATTCTATAATGTAGAAAATAGTCAAAATAAAGAAACCCTGGAATGAGTAGGTGTGTCAACTTCTGACTGTTACTGTATATCTACAGAAATAAGACGGATCCTGCTTCTGTTGCATGTTTGAGTTTTTGTTTAATAACCTACTGACTCCGTGAGCACCAAGCCTCAGCAACCACATGTCGGATAAACGATTTCACATTCAGCTGTTTTTAATCTTTGCTATGCTGTAATAAAGGCTTTACACTTTTTTTCATTAGAACAGCCTCTGGTATTATTTATCATTTGAGTTTACGCTGTTCCAAATTGTCAGAAATTATAATAATAATAACCCTCCTTTTTCTTGATCTCCTTATTGTTACTATTATTATTATGATCATCTTTATAATAAGTACTGTCATTATAATTAGTAGGCTTAGTATAGCAGCCTTGTATAACCACCATCAAGCTGTAGGCCTAAGAGCGCATCCTGTTTAGTACTTTTTCATCAAGGTCTAATATGTATGCTTTGGAATTATTAACTAACTTTGGCCTATTTTTCAATAGTTATATAGGCTACTGAATCAATCATTAATTTGTTCACGTCATCACACAGCATACGAGTCATTCATGATTTGAAATGCAATCAAGCATTTTACTTTTAAAATAAAGGGACCCTTGAATAATTAGCGTAAAAAATAAATAAACCGTTCCATTTCAGAAAATTGCATTCAGGAATGAATGCGACTGTTTTCAGTCTTTGCTGTAATAAAGGCTTTACAAAACAAAAACAAAAAACGTTACAACAGACTCTGGAACGCTTATCATTTATTTAGTGTTTACATTGTTCCAAACGGTCAAATTATATTGTAATCTATACAACACCTGTTTGGCACAAGTAGTATGCACGCAGCGCTTGCTCCTTACCTTGTTTTTCTTGATCTCCAGTATTTTCCACAACTAGTCACATTTATTCCACACATGACTTCCCCTTTACCTCCTGAGTAACCAGTAAACATTCCCCCATTTACTGTCAATGTGTTAGTGTTCGGAGTTTGTAATAACCATTTTATTGATGTGATTATGATGGGGCCTGACCTATAGCCTATTGGTTACGTGCATGTGATGCATGCATGTCACTTTAAGAGAGCAAGGATTGAGGAATTAGGGAATGTTTTTCCTAAACAAATGAGGGATTTCGGTAACAGAACTTTTCAGTCAGAAATGGCTGTAATTATGTTGCAGCTTCAGCAACACGGACAGCGCGATAACTGTTCTGTGGTGGTCACTGCAGCAGGGAGGAGAGGAAGACAACGGGTGCTAATCACACAGTCACTCGCTGTCATCTTTTACATAAATTTTTTTTACACAGTGCAGCAAGTCTGCGCCCGGCACAATCAAATCAATTCCGATCAGACTCCCTCTAGTCATTTGTGTGTCTTATTTCATCAAACAGTGCGCTTAAAGCATCAGACAAGCTCAGTGCATATAGTTGATTTGATTAAAACACACAGGCTCTGTCTAATCAATTGGTCGAAAGAATGTTGACTAATCAATTGGTCGAATGAACAGATGACTCTCGGTCATCCAATATACTTTTTAGTCGGGGACAGCCTGTGTGTGTGTGTGTTTTTTCTTCTCAGGATTTAGAAAATTCTCCCTTGACCCCATTTTCTTATCAGGTGACCCCTGGTTTGAGAACCGCAGATATAAATGTCATAACCTAGAGTACTGAGATATTATGGCATCTGAAATTAACATTTATTGTGAAGCCCATGTGATCTCATCTTTGAGTTCAGCTAAAGTCTGATTGCATTCTGTTCCCTCTATAATATTCACCAGCTACGGAAGAGGATGATGAGGACAGTATCGTCCTGAACCAGGCCAGGGGAAAGAGGCCCATATTTGAGTGTTTTTGGAATGGACGTCTCATCCCATACACCACTGTATCTGAGTAAAGAGACACTTTTAATAATACGTTTTTCTTCAGTAATGTATACCCTTTTTGTTTTCTTAAAGTAATGTTTGAATTTTCTGTGTTCGTCCGTTGTGTGTTTCAGGTTTGACTGGTGTGCATGGCCCAAGAAGACTGGGACAGTGCCTGCAGAGTGTTACAGCAGGTTCTCAGGGGCGCTGTTCACCAACGACAGGTTCCAGGTCAGCACCAACAAGCTCACTTTCATGGACCTGGAGCTGCAGCTAAAGAATAAGGAGACCTTATTCACCCGCATCGTCAATGGCCAGGTAGCTTCCTTGTGTCTGTGATTTATGTTCTGTCAGTAGCAAACCTCAGTCCTCTTGGGTGGAAGAAAAGATTATAGCATATTTAATCCTCAGAGCTGGAAATCTAACACCCATATTAGACAGATGTGATGTTAACAGTATTACTGAATTACCACTATGATGTGGAACATTTTAGTATTCAAAAAATCGCTGTGTTACTGATGCATGTCATTTCCCTTCCCAGGAACAAAGGGTTAAGATCCAGAAGGAGTTTCACCAGTGGCTGAAGACCTGCCACGAGAAGTGGGACAAGCAAGTGAAGTTCAGAGGCTTCAAGGGCACTATCAAACGAACTGACGTGGCCACCAAGAAGATGCAATCTCCTTGGGCTACCTTCTCCTCCATCGAGTGGGACGGTAGAATGTACAAAGCTGGCCAATACGTGAGCATCCTCTCTTCCTAAGACGGTAGAGCCTGGTTCAATCTCAATTCGTCTTTCTGTGATTTCTCGCATCCTCTCTCCTCGGCTTCTTCTCCACCACATTGGAGGAGAAAGTTCAAGGTCCCTCCCCTGAACCTTCTTCTCCAATGCGTTCTGAGAAGGAGGCGAGGAGAGACAATGCAAGGAATCGAGGAAAGATTCATTGAGAAAGGGCAACGGAACTGTTTGGTCGCTGTGTTTTGAAGTGTTAATTAATTGTCTGTTTAATCATATTTTAAATTAAATCTCATAATTAAGTAGCTCATGTGTCGATCTCTAAAGTCTGTTCTCTGCCTTTCCTTCTAGGTGAAGTCTCAGAAAACACAGCCCATCTTCTTTGGCTCCGTTATTCAGTTCCTACTGTATGGCGATCACGAGGGAGATGTCTACGCCACAGGGGGGCAGGTGAAGGTGGCCATGGTAAGACATCAGAGATAATGATAGCAGTGACACTTTGTTCTGCACACTCTTAAGCTAAGGAACTCCCATGGCCTTAGCATATGGATTTGCATGATTTTGGCTGCAAAATCATCTGTTTTGTATCTGTTCCCATAGGAACCAAAGGCGCTGTACAATGACATCAAGACAATACCCATCTCCAAAATCGACAGGGTGATTACCAATGCAGCCATCAAGAAGAGCATTGATGACGAACTAGCCAAGTGAGGGAACCATTTTTGATTTTATTCCCAACGTACATGAATGTGGTCCTTATGCCCCAGTGGTACATGGTTTTATGATGCAACATTGTCCCTGTTTTGCCCCAGACTCCCAGACGAGCTTAAAGTGACCTGGCCGGAGGGCAACCCCTGGACCCAGAACGATGTCCGGCCAGCAGGCACTCCACTAGGTACGGAGACGGACTCCCTGCACCTTACACAGTAGCTCCATGCTATCTGCCAAGTGTTTTTGAGACTGTATCCTAAGTATGCACATATTTGTGAGTGACTGATCTCCCTTTAATTCCTTGCAGGACCTCTCCATGTGGAAATTCTCAACAAGAAAGGAGAGTCGATATCCAGGATACCATCAGCCACACAAAACGCATCACGGAAAGCACTTTCAATCGAACTAAAAGTTGTTTGGCATTGTGAGTTAATCTGAGTCCTAAGAATGATTGCTGCTATTATATTTTTGGCTGACTGTTTCAATGGATAGTGTGTGTTTACTGTGTCATAAATAGTTTTCTCTCTTCCTCCCTAGCTCCTAATGGTGATGTGGAGACCAACTCTCATATTGCAGCACATTCAGCCAAGTGGGCATTCTGGTTCAGAACCATGGGTAATTGTTTTATTTTAATAAATGACTTTATTGTAATTATTTTAGTTTCCTCTCCTCTGTTTTTATGTTACTAGCTAGTGATGCAGTGTTTGCAGTGTTTGTTATAAGAATGTCTAACTCTGGTCGCTAAACAGTGTTGCTTCTACATCTGCATTCCTTGCAGATGACTGGGTATCTGTATAAGCACTTTTAGACTGGGTATCTGTATAAGCACTTTGTGACATCTGCTGATGTAAAAAGGGCTGTATAAATAAATGTGATTCCCTATAAAGAGAACCTGAACAAGATGGGGAAGTACACTCTGCACCTGAACACAGTACTCAATGTCAATGAGCGCAACTCTACCGTCTGGGCTGGGAACCAGCTTCCCAACCACACACTGGACTTCTCCATTACTGGTAACTTCATTTGTGAAATCAGACTGCAACACATATACATTAAATGCATTGGCCCTCTCCAGTAACAATCAGATCCATCTCCTGAACACCCATTTTTCTCTCCTCTCTCCCAGAGGGCAGTGCAGAGAGGTTTGTGGTGGGTACAGTTACCACCCTGCTCCATGTGGGGGTGCCTTTCCACATCCCACTGGAGCTACTGGATGAATACGGTCACCCTGCTCGCCCCCCTCCCAACCTCAAGCCCCTCCTGGAATGCAGGTAGGTTACACACAAAAATAGTTGAAAGGGTTACACACATTGTCCTGCAATGTTATGTTTCGGGTATTTGTTTTGCATATTTTGTGTCTGTGCAGAGTATTTCCAAAGATATTGATTCATTGAATGTGTTGATTCATTGATTGATAGGTGTTTTTATTCTCTCTGTTTGCATGTCCCCTCTGTGTGTGTTGACTTTGTAATAAAGGGCTCAGCCCTGGTGTCTGTCAGTCAGGGGATTCATGGTGTCAAATGTTTTCAGCACCTCCTTGTTTAGCTGGCCGGTTGTTAATGTGTTTCAGTGCCCTGGAAGTGAGTTATGAGGGGGCGGCCTCTAGAGGGACCATTTTTACCATCCGAGGCGTCAGAGCCAGAGGGGCGGTGCAGAACTACCAGAACAAGGTCAGAGACCCGCTGGTTTCCAGGGCTGCAGGGCTCTCACTTTACCTCTATCCAGATGAACCTCAAAAAAACAGACACACGACTGAAAGCTTTCTCAAATAACGCCCCCGAGTAATGTTTGAAATATAAAGGTCATATTTTTATCTTGGCAGACGCACGACTTGAAAGTGGTACTGCCTGGCCTCAAACAGGACTCGCAGACTCTGAAGATCAGCCTTCTCCCTGGTAAAGTGATTGATTTACATTGAAGTCACAAATGTAAAGAATGTTTATGCTCCTATGTGCTCCTGGGTATTCAGAGAACTGTGTTTTCACTTGTTTACTTGGTAAACAATTAATGGACCATTTGCGAAATTAATTTTTTTGCATTAGTACTCTATTTTAATAACCTGTGATTTACGGCAACAACTTGGGGATCTGCTGCTTTGAGAAGAAACATCATCTTTAATGGGGGGGGGGTTGGTTGTCGGTAGATCCTGACAAGGACTTTTAAGTCAATGATTGCCCAAATTGCATATGCTGTCCAGCTGTGGCTGGAGGGCTAGTTGGGGTAACAACCACCCTTTTTAGGCCTTATAAAACATATGTAGCCTAAACAGTGTTTTACAAGCAGCACTGTGTGTATATATATATATATATATATATATATATACTGCTCAAAAAAATAAAGGGAACACTAAAATAACACATCCTAGATCTGAATGAATGAAATAATCTTATTAAATACTTTTTTCTTTACATAGTTGAATGTGCTGACAACAAAATCACACAAAAATTATCAATGGAAATCAAATTGATCAACCCATGGAGGTCTGGATTTGGAGTCACCCTCAAAATTAAAGTGGAAAACCACACTACAGGCTGATCCATCTTTGATGTAATGTCCTTAAAACAAGTCAAAATGAGGCTCAGTAGTGTGTGTGGCCTCCACGTGCCTGTATGACCTCCCTACAACGCCTGGGCATGCTCCTGATGAGGTGGCGGATGGACTCCTGAGGGATCTCCTCCCAGACCTGGACTAAAGCATCCGCCAACTCCTGGACAGTCTGTGGTGCAACGTGGCGTTGGTGGATGGAGCGAGACATGATGTCCCAGATGTGCTCAATTGGATTCAGGTCTGGGGAACGGGCGGGCCAGTCCATAGCATCAATGCCTTCCTCTTGCAGGAACTGCTGACACACTCCAGCCACATGAGGTCTAGCATTGTCTTGCATTAGGAGGAACCCAGGGCCAACCGCACCAGCATATGGTCTCACAAGGGGTCTGAGGATCTCATCTCGGTACCTAATGGCAGTCAGGCTACCTCTGGCGAGCACATGGAGGGCTGTGCGGCCCCCCAAAGAAATGCCACCCCACACCATGACTGACCCACCGCCAAACCGGTCATGCTGGAGGATGTTGCAGGCAGCAGAACGTTCTCCACGGCGTCTCCAGACTCTGTCACGTGCTCAGTGTGAACCTGCTTTCATCTGTGAAGAGCACAGGGCGCCATTGGTGAATTTGCCAATCTTGGTGTTCTCTGGCAAATGCCAAACGTCCTGCACGGTGTTGGGCTGTAAGCACAACCCCCACCTGTGGACGTCGGGCCCTCATACCACCCTCATGGAGTCTGTTTCTGACCGTTTGAGCAGACACATGCACATTTGTGGCCTGCTGGAGGTCATTTTGCAGGGCTCTGGCAGTGCTCCTCCTTCTCCTTGCACAAAGGCGGAGGTAGCAGTCCTGCTGCTGGGTTGTTGCCCTCCTACGGCCTCCTCCACGTCTCCTGATGTACTGGCCTGTCTCCTGGTAGCGCCTCCATGCTCTGGACACTACGCTGACAGACACAGCAAACCTTCTTGCCACAGCTCGCATTGATGTGCCATCCTGGATGAGCTGCACTACCTGAGCCACTTGTGTGGGTTGTAGACTCCGTCTCATGCTACCACTAGAGTGAAAGCACCGCCAGCATTCAAAAGTGACCAAAACATCAGCCAGGAAGCATAGGAACTGAGAAGTGGTCTGTGGTCACCACCTGCAAAACCAGTCCTTTATTGGGGGTGTTTTGCTAATTGCCTATAATTTCCACCTGTTGTCTATTCCATTTGCACAACAACGTGACATTTATTGTCAATCAGTGTTGCTTCCTAAGTGGACAGTTTGATTTCACAGAAGTGTGATTGACTTGGAGTTACATTGTGTTGTTTAAGTGTTCCCTTTATTTTTTTGAGCTGTGTGTGTATATATATATATATATATATATATATATAATATACATACATACAGTGAGGGGGGAAAAGTATTTGATCCCCTGCTGATTTTGTACATTTGCCCACTGACAAAGAAATGATCAGTCTATAATTTTAATGATAGGTTTATTTGAACAGTGAGAGACAGAATAACAACAAAAAAATCCAGAAAAACGCATGTAAAAAAATTTATAAATTGATTTGCTTTTTAATGAGGGAAATAAGTATTTGACCCCTCTGCAAAACATGACTTAGTACTTGGTGGCAAAACCCTTGTTGGCAATCAGAGGTCAGACGTTTCTTGTAGTTGGCCACCAGGTTTGCACACATCTCAGGAGGGATTTTGTCCGACTCCTCTTTGCAGATATTCTCCAAGTCATTAAGGTTTTGAGGCTGACGTTTGGGAACTCTAACCTTCAGCTCCCTCCACAGATTTCCAATGGGATTAAGGTCTGGAGACTGGCTAGGCCACTCCAGGACCTTAATGTGCTTCTTCTTGAGCCACTCCTTTGTTGCCTTGGCCATGTGTTTTGGGTCATTGTCATGCTGGAATACCCATCCACGACCCATTTTCAATGCCCTGGCTGAGGGAAGGAGGTTCTCACCCAAGATTTGACGGCATATGGCCCCATCCATCGTCCCTTTGATGCGGTGAAGTTGTCCTGTCCCCTTAGCAGAAAAACACCCCCAAAGCATAATGTTTCCACATCCATGTTTGACGGTGTGGATGGTGTTCTTGGGGTCATAGGCAGCATTCCTCCTCCAAACACGCGAGTTGAGTTGATGCCAAAGAGCTCGATTTTGGTCTCATCTGACCACAACACTTTCACCCAGTTCTCCTCTGAATCATTCAGATGTTCATTGGCAAACTTCAGACGGGCCTGTATATGTGCTTTCTTGAGCAGGGGGACCTTGCGGGCGCTGCAGGATTTCAGTCCTTTACGGCGTAGTGTGTTACCTATTATTTTCTTGGTGACTATGGTCCCAGCTGCCTTGAGATCATTGACAAGATCCTCCCGTGTAGTTCTGGGCTGATTCCTCACCGTTCTCATGATCATTGCAACTCCACGAGGTGAGATCTTGCATGGAGCCCCAGGCCGAGGGAGATTGACAGTTATTTTGTGTTTCTTCCATTTGCGAATAATCGCACCAACTGTTGTCACCTTCTCACCAAGCTGCTTGACGATGGTCTTGTAGCCCATTCCAGCCTTGTGTAGGTCTACAATCTTGTCCCTGACATCCTTGGAGAGCTCTTTGGTCTTGGCCATGGTGGAGAGTTTGGAATCTGATTGATTGATTGCTTCTGTGGACAGGTGTCTTTTATACAAGTAACAAGCTGAGATTAGGAGCACTCCCTTTAAGAGTGTGCTCCTAATCTCAGCTCGTTACCTGTATAAAAGACACCTGGGAGCCAGAAATCTTTCTGATTGAGAGGGGGTCAAATACTTATTTCCCTCATTTAAAATGCAAATCAATTTATAAAAAATTTGACATGCGTTTTTCTGGATTTTTTTGTTGTTATTCTGTCTCTCACTGTTCAAATAAACCTACCATTAAAATTAGACTGATCATTTCTTTGTCAGTGGGAAAACGTACAAAATCAGCAGGGGATCAAATACTTTTTTCCCTCACTGTGTGTATGTGTGTGTATATATATATATATATATATATATATATATTGGTTACCTCCAAAGGTATTTGGACAGTGACCCATTTTTGGTTGTTTTGGCTCTGTACTCAAGCACTTTTAAAATGATACAATGACTGAGGTTAAAGTGCAGACTGTCATCTTTAATTTGAGGGTAATGATGAGTGAGAAAGTTAGACGCACATATCATACCCTCCCCTGTTATTGTAATGGTGAGAGGTTAGCATGTCTTGGGGGTATGATGTTTGTGCGTCCAACTTTCTCCGTAATCATGGTAGCATCCACATTAATGTAGAAGTCTTTACAAATGTATTCTATTATTTTTTTACAATAGAAGTGACAAGACATTATTTACCATTAATTTCTATTGGGCACAAAATAATCTGAAGCACAACCAAAACAAACTGCAAATGCATCCAACAAGTTTGTAGAGTCACAAGCATGATGGGGAGGCTAAATACAAAACGTGCTGCAATTTCTAAACAGTTCACCTGATATGGATGAAAATGCCCTCAAATTAAAGCTGACTGTCTGCACTTGAACCTCGTATATGAACCTCATTGTATCATTTCAAATCCAAAGTGCTGGAGCACAGAGCCAAAACAACAACAACAACAAAAATGTCACTGTCCCAATACTTTTGGACATTCCAAAGTAGTGTGTCAGCTGAATATGTATGTTTTACAGGTAACCCAGATTCACTCAAAGTGAAACAAGAGGATTCAATCACTGTGGAGAATGGAACCTCGGTTAGCTTTGATGTGGAGGTCCATGACGAAGCCGGAAACGTCACAGCTCACCCGAAACTGATCGTCTGCTGCCAGGTAAGATCAGACTAGACCCTGACTCTGGAGGTATGAATACCTAAGTCAAAAGCAGAGGAATTGCACAACTGCAATTTCTATCCTCATCAGTAACTTGGCATGTCTATGGCTTATTCCAGTTCAGTTCATATTTTTCTGAAATCTGAAGTTCCATCCAGTGTTCTGTGTTTGGTGTTCCATGCTCATACATTTGAATGTGTTTACTGAAGTCCACTTCTTAATAATGAAGTACAAAAGGCATTTTAATATCTCCAAAGGCACCAAGTAGCATCATGTTCTTGTAAGGCCAAACCAAGCACCCAGAGAAAGTTGTCAAACTTGGACCTGCAGCTTGTGGGAGCTGTGTGTACTAGTTCTGCCTCCAAGTTTCTCAGCAGTTGGCTAATGAAAAACACTGGCTCCAATAGAACAGACATGCCCTTTTCAGGAAACAAACCAGTATAAAGGGAGAGGCGGGCTTGCCAAAGCACTATTTCAACCCTTTAGGGTTGAGTAAGAGGGTGTGTCGCTGTCCCAGAGAGTATGTGCAATTTAGGTCCGCTTTCCATACAGCAGGTTACCAGAGTTGTATTCATTAGTGCATACTGTAGCAAAATGTTTTGCAACAGGAAACTAAAACAAGTTTCTTATTGGACAAGGTAGTCCCTCCCCTATTTGATCGATGCATTCCTAGTGAATATGATCCAGCTCTTTGCCAGAATATCTACCAGTAGGATAGGATCCATGAATGATATCTGACTTGTGGACCTCTTGATGGGAAACAATCATGGGAAATCTGGATATTTTCTCCCAAGTGAAGGCTCTAGGAGGCAGATCTCACACATGGGAATAGTTTGGTGACTTGCTAGTGCTTTTAAAATCTCTTAACACAATCCATTACAAATGAGCACATGCTTCTGAATTGTTTCAATTTGTTAACACATTGCTGTTCTGGAGATTAAGTCATGCTCCGTTGAGTGTAGGAATTAGTCTCTTCCTTCAGGAAAGGCCTAAACTTCTGTATCAACCTTTGAAGTTGAGGCCACCGTGTTACCCTGGTGGAGCCATTGGTCTCCATCCCTTTCCTTTCTCACTGAGATAAAGAGGAGTTCACTGTTTGCCAACAGTGCCCACTGTGCCTGATAGAATGCCCTCCATAGACAATCTCAGATTTCTGGAGCCACTCTTCCCTTCCAGAGGCATGCATGAAGCGACTGTTGCTCAATATCAGGAAAGGAATGCGTTTTTATATTACATTTACATTTTAGTCATTTAGCAGACGCTCTTATCCAGAGCGACTTACAGTTAGTGAGTGCATACATTTTTCATACTGGCCCCCCGTGGGAAACGAACCCACAACCCTGGCGTTGCAAGCGCCATGCTCTACCAACTGAGCTACATTGCATTCGGAAAGTATTCAGACCCCTTGACCTTTTCCACATTTTGTTACAGCCTCATTTTCCCCTCATCAAGCTACACACAATACCCTATAATGACAAATTGAAAAGTTTTTTAGAAATTTTAGCAAATGTATTAAGACTAAACAAATACCTTATTTACATAAGTATTCAGACCCTTTGCTATGAGACTAAAAATTGAGCTCAGATGCATCATGTTTCCATTGATCATCCTTGATGTTTCTACAACTTGGTAGGTGTCCACCAGTGGAAATTCAATTGATTGGACATTATTTGGAAAGGCACACACCTGTCCATATAAGGTCCCACAGTTGACAGTGCATGTCAGAGCAAAAACCAAGCCATGAGGTCGAATGACTTGTTCGTAGAGCTCCGAGACAGGATTGTGTCGAGGCACAGATCTGGGGAAGGCTACCAAAAAATTTCTGCAGCATTGAAGGTCCCCAAGAACACAGTGGCCTCCATCATTCTTAAATGGAAGAAGTTTGGAACCACCAAGACTCTTCATAGAGCTGGCCAAACTGAGCAATCGGGGGAGAAGGGCCTTGGTCAGGGAGGTGACCAAGAACCCGATGGTCACTCTGACAGAGCTCCAGAGTTCCTCTGTGGAGATGGGAGAACCTTCCAGAAGGACAACCATCTCTGCAGCACTTCACCAATCAGGCCTTAATGGTAGAGTGGCCAGACGGAAGCCAATCCTGACTGATGATTGGCTGAGAGAAATGGATGATAAAATGATTGGGGGGGGGGGCTGTTTTGTTAGACTTCAGTGCGGCTTTTGACATTATTGATCATAGTCTGCTGCTGGAAAAACTATTTATGGCTTTACTCCACCTTCTATATTGTGGATACAGTTACCTGTCTAACAGAACACTGAGGGTGTTCTTTAATGAAAGCTTCTCCAATATAATCCAGGTAGAATCAGGAATTCCCCAGGGCAGCTGTCTAGGCCCATTACTTTTTTCAATCTTTACTAATGACATGCCACTGGCTTTGAGTAAAGCCAGAGTGTCTATGTATGTGGATGACTCAACACTATACACGTCAGCTACTACAGCGACTGAAATGACTGCAACACTTAACAAAGAGTTGCAGTTAGTTTCAGAGTGGGTGGCAAGGAATAGGTTAGTCCTAAATATTTCTAAAACTAAAAGCATTATATTTGGAACAAATCATTCACTAAACTCCAAACCTCAATTAAGTCTTGTAATAAATAATGTGGAGATTGTGCAAGTTGAGGTGACTAAACTGCTTGGAGTAACCCTGGATTGTAAACTGTCATGGTCAAAACATATTGATACAATAGTAGCTAAGATGGGGAGAAGTCTGTCCATAATAAAGTGCAGCTCTACCTTCTTAACAGCACTATCAACAAGGCAGGTCCTACAGGCTCTAGTTTTATCGCACCTGGACTACTGTTCAGTCGTGTGGTCAGGTGCCACAAAGAGGGACTTAGGAAAATTGCAATTGGCTCAAAACAGGGCAGCATGGCTGGCCCTTGGATGTACACAGAGAGCAAACATTAATAATATGCATGTCAATCTCTCCTGGCTCAAAGTGGAGGAGAGATTGACTTCATCACTGCTTGCGTTTGTGAGAGGTGTTGAAAGCACCGAGCTGTCTGTATGAACGACTGGCACACAGCTCCAGAACAGACTATGGGAGGCGCACAGTACTACATAGAGCCATGACTACATGGAACTCTATTCCACATCAGGTAACTGATGCAAGCAGTAGAATCAGATTTTAAAAAACAGATAAAAAATACACCTTATGGAACAGCGGGGACTGTGAAGCCACACAAACATAGGAACAGACGTATGCATACACACACGATAACATACGCTCTATACACACACGTACACATGGATTTTGTGTTGTAGATTAGGAGTAGGGGCCTGAGGACGCACACTTAGTGTGCTGTGAAATCTGTTATGAATGTATTGTAATGTTTTTTTTAAAATGTAAAACTGCCTTTAATTTTGCTGGACCCCAGGAAGAGTAGCTGCTGCCTTGGCCTGAATGCCAAGTGTCACGTCTGGAAGAAACCTGGCACCATCCCTACGGTGAAGCATGGTGGTGGTGGCAGCATCATGCTGTGGGGATGTTTTTCAGTGGCAGGGACTGGGAGACTAGTCAGGATCGAGGCAAAGATGAACGGCGCAAAGTACATAAAGATCCTAAATGAAAACCTGCTCCAGAGCACTCAGGACCTCAGACTGGGGGCAAAGGTTCACCTTCCAACAGGACAACGAACCTAAGCACACAGCCAAGACAACACAGGAGTGGCTTCGGGACAAGTCTCTGAATGTCCTTGAGTGGCCCAGCCAGAGCCCGGACTTGAACCCGATCGAACATCTCTGGAGAGACCTAAAAATAGCTGTGCAGCAACGCTCCCCATCCAACCTGACAGAGCTTGAGAGGATCTGCAGAGAAGAATGAGAGAAACTCCCCAAATATAGGTGTGCCAAGCTTGTAGCGTCATACCCAAGAAGACTTGAGGCTGTAATCGCTGCCAAAGGTGCTTCAACAAAGTACTGAGTAAATCGTTTGATCGAAAATGTTAAACGTATTTTTAGACACACCCTAGCTTACGGTTTGATGAAATAAGACAAATGCCTCGAGGGGCGCCAAAGATCTAGATAACCAGAAGAAAAAACCTTAACCTGACCCAGCTATTCTCCTCCCGCTCCTGCTGGCTTTCGCAGATTCTCCAATTACTCTCCTGAATTTGCCGGTAATAGGCTACATGAGGAGTCGGCAACCTTTCTCATGTGGAATGTCAATTTACCTTACCATTTCTACTGATCTGCGTGCCAGTTATGGTTTTCATATGCACATTTTCGTGAAAGTTTCATTTATTTTATAACTTTTCATATCTCAATCATTTTCATGTGGTTAATCAAAATTCTCTCTCAATGAAAATGATACTTATATTGCCATTGCCAACTATGTAAAAATAGCCTACATAAAGCTAAAACCAACAAATAAAAACATTACAGCCTGCAGGTAGAAAATATCCTGATTTAAAAAATAAATAACCTATAAATCACATTGGCTACACATGGCCTGTCTGCAACGAACTTGAAACATTGTATAAACTATTAACTTGGGTCCAGCCAGACGCTTGTGCTAGCGAACTTGCAACATTGTATAAAATATTCTGGGCCCTCAGTTTCCTGCGCCAGTGAGCTTGGGACAGACACAGCGGTAGGCTATTTGCGCAAGGGATAAGAAGCAGTGCTTGACTTGGGCAGGAGATCACCGGAGCTGAATACCGGCACCTCAAATGTTCTACTGCTTGAGCTCCTGTTCCGCTTATAAAATGTTAGCGCAAAGTATTGTGGAGCTCCTGCACCTAAATATAAACCTTACCGGCACCCAAAATGAGTACCGGAAACTATTTCAGTCCAAGTCAAGCACTGATAAGAAATAATCAGGTAGGCCTATTTTATGACGTTTCCATTGGATCAGAGCATGACATTCTAGATTAGAAATGATAGGAATTAACGGTAAATGTACTACTGGTGATATATGTAATGGGAAATTGATATACAATAACAATCAAACGCAAACAATTCACACAATGAAGTTATGAAACAATGAATGTGCACAAATTGGCTGGAGAGAGTGCATTTTGCATCTGGGCGCATGGTCAATCCGACGTCTGCATTGGCCATGCAGCATTTACGGTGATATGGCCTCAGCAGAAGTCAGGGCATTCATACTTCTTGCAGAGCTGTTGTCAAGGAAGTGAGTTTGTGTTTATACAGGATGTACTGCCCCCACCTACCGTCAACAAATCATGTCAATGCGGAGCTATACAGAGCCCTCCGCATTGTTACAACATTTGGGAGGCACATGGCGAAGCGGTACTGAGTTCGATATGGCCTTTGCATGCTTCTGGAAGCGCCACAATTGTGTGTCACTCTCCATATGGAGCCTCCTACAATATTTTCAAATCAAGCCTAAATTGGCTTTTAGTCTAGGCCTACGCAATGGATTAGTTCACTGAGATGGGCGCAAATATATCTTTTTTTTTACTGCTCGACTAAAACAATCTCGGTCAACCAGTCGATTTAATGGGGGTTACAGGGAGAGAGGGGGGAAAGAGGCTTGTACAGTACATTATGTCTATCACTGTCATTGTACAAGTGTGTTACTGAACATGTCCCATTTCAGGACTCATGTGCCAGACATGAGGCTGGAAAGTATGAGTGAGGAGGCTGGTGGAATTTTAACATCTGCTCCTTTTTACTCACCAAAAGGAACCTGTTTTTATAGTAACACGGGGGGAAAAGTACTTTCACACATTTTATGAGTGCTTTAAAAAAAAAAAAAGGTGAAAAGTCAAAGCTGATTTTGCTGGAGACTGCTGCTTGCCGTAAACAGTTGCAGTTCTTGACACACTCAAACCAGTCCGCCTGGCACCTCAAAGGCACTTCAATCTTTTGTCTCGCCCATTCACCCTCTGAATGGCACATATACACAATCCTTAAAAATCCTTCTGTAACCTGTCTCCTCCCTTTCATCTACACTAATTGAAGTGGATTTAACAGTTAACAGGTGACCTCAATAAGGTACATCTTTCACCTGGTCAGTTATGGAAAGAGCATGTTTTGTAGACTCAGTGTATATTTGAGTCCTGGAAATCAATGAGTTGCTTGACAATATTTCACTATTTGCCAGCAGTGCCCACTGGGCCTGATAAAATGTCTTTACATAGACAACCTCAGCTTTTTGGAGTAACTCTTCCCTTCTAGATACATAGACTGTTACCCAATAGAATGAATGCTGTTTAAAAAAAAAATAATTATTTGAGTCCTGGAAGTCAACGTGTTGGCTTGACAATAATAACATGTATTTGTGCGGTATGTATCTTTCTGTGGTGTCTCAGTTGCAGGGGATCCCCGGTTCGTCCTCCATGGTGGCTGTAGACTGCAGTAACACAGGAGCTGGGACCCTGGTGCTAAAACCAATCACCTTCAAAAACATCACGGGAGATCAGACGGTTAAAGCTACGTTTGATATTCCAGTAAGTAATTGTTTATCTATTAAGACCTCCCCTTTGTTTCACCTCAAACTTCTTAACAACTCATTTCGCCCCCTCCATGGATCTCAATGATAGAAAAAAGAAACTCCTGCACACTGCCATTTTTTTTACTGCTTCATGTTTTTTTTGGTTTTTCAGTCCAATATTATTTTGGGATTTTAAATATTTCCAGTGTAAAAACACAATACAAATACATTTTGTCAAGTGAAATGATACATGTTCATTCATCCATTTTACCAATCAGAGTCAGAAGAGTGTAGCCCCAGTCCAGAGGGATCTGAGGGTTGTCCCCAGCACCCGTGTATCACGTCTCGAGGTGTACAGTCAGGAGGACGTGGACAGCCTGGTGGACTCCATGGTGCTGAGGGACAAGGAAAAGATCGACTGGACGGCAGGGGACCTCCTGGAGAACCTCCATTATAGACTGTATGACGAGGGAGGCAGGGAGGTCCCTCTGTCTGAAGAGATGGCCCAGAGGATCAAGGTAATGATAACACCACCCTGACCATATATGAATTAGGGCTGGGGATTGCCAGGGACCTCACAATACGATATTATCACGGTGCAGATACAATATGTATTGCAATTCGATGTTCTAAACATATTGCTCACCATATGTCTGCTGCAGAGGGACAACAGAGAGCCATGAGAAAACACATTTTGATCAGTCATGGAAATAAGTGCTGAAAACAAATTGTCTCACTGTTTAAAAAGATGGAGAACAAATATGAAGGAACAATACTGGCGTTTTGGTGCAGGTACAGCCTACTAGCGCAAATGAATAAGAGGGGGCATCTGATCCTAGATCAGCATTCCTACTCTGAGACGCTTAATGAATACGAGCCCAGAAGTCCTACATTACAGTTGATATGGATATTAGGTCAGTATTGATGATTCTAACAGCCTGTTGCCTGAGACTCCCCTGTTTGTGTTGTGACTGTCAGGTGAACTGGACGGCTGATGTGAGTGTGGAGGAGCTGGCCCAGGGGAAGCTGCCCAACGTGCTGGTCCCATCTCTGGTGAAGGAGGAGCACTTCTACCAGGTCTCCTACATGGAGCAGCTGGTGTCTGTCGACACCTCCTTCACTATAGTGTAAGTCCTCTGCTCAAACATGATAGAAACATCTTGCACTCAAGTAAAATGTTTGTTTTTTGATGAGGCAAAGATTTTGCCTCATGGTAAAAAGATACAAAGTAGACCAACTTATATGTTGTTCATAGTTAATTTGCTTATAGAAGTAGCAACAAATGAATTATGATTGTGCTTATCACATCAGCGGGTGGACTTCTTTTGATTGGCTGTGTGTTGGTTTTAGGCCCCGCCCCGACGAGCCGAAACACATGAAGGCCACGCTGAGCGAGTCGACCGTGAGGATGGGAGAAGTCCTATCAGGAAAGATCTGTGAGTCTGGAGCCATCAGCAGGTTACTCTCTGACACCTATTCACATTTAGGACTTCTTCTTGATTACCTTCCAAATGAGAAACCGGTAGTTCCCTTTCCCAGACTTACAGCTTACGGACCAGTATGGCAATAAAACTCAGATGCTGACCGCGACCTGTGTGGACTCTCTTACCGTGGACGCAGAGGGTCTCGACAAAGCATCCCTGGTCTTTACCTGGCAGGTACATTGAATAAATCAAAGTAATTTTGTAATGTTATCATCCATTGTGATTATTATGTTGCTGAAAGTATAATTAGCGTCAAACATCCCATATTGTCCTTAAAGCTACAGTCTGTGATTCGGAAAAAAATAAAAATAACGAAATGTCTGTTATGCCGTGTGTTGTAATCAGGAGAGCACCCACTCCATCTTAGTGACGGGGGTGCGGTTCAACCCCGGGTTCCCAGGTATCAGAGAGCTGAACTTCACCTGGAGGGACTTTGCGGAGCATGTGACCATTAAATTGACGGCCGGGGTCCCTGCACAGCTCAAACTAGTGGACGGACCACAGGAGGTGGGCATTAAGTTAAGGGCCAAGACACTCTGGATGCGACAGTGTTGCCATTTGGGAAGCAACCTCTGAGTTTTGGTACATATTGGTCATGGCTTTCCTCTCTCCCTAAATGTAACTGTAGTAACGGCCGTGTTGCGTTTTTACCTCAGCCCCTGCAGGTACTGAATGAGCAGGGCATCCAGACGCCCTTCCTCCTCCAGCTGTTTGATGAGTGGGGGAACCCCTCTCCTGACCAGAGGGTTGTGGTGATGCTGAAGACTTCCACTCCAGCCCTGAAGGTCAGCGACTCTCACCTCCACTGTTGTAAAGGGGGATTCTATAGCATTGGGGATACTGACCTCTATTGGGTAGTTTATCTTCTTGATAAGAAAGTATTTTGTTTTTCAGGTGAAGTCATCTGTTAATTCACAACCGATAGACAAAGATGGAAAAGCCAGTTTCGTAGTAGACCATGTGAGCGGTCCAAAGTGAGTTCCTAACCCTATAATTCCTAACCACTTGCCATAATGACCCTGTAACCATATTTTATTGGAGGGCAGTGTTTAACCCCTGTTGGTCTCCCAGGGGGGAGTATGCGCTGGAGTTCAGAGGGTCCTTCAACACGAAGCCCATCCATGGTCCATCTGTAAAGCTTACCATTATCCCTGATCCTAACAAACCTATCAAACTGGTGGTGGAGTACAACACAAACTCAGTGTTTCATGCTGGAGGCACCCTCACAGGTCTGTACCTCTGTCGGTGGCGCTACCTGTGGGTCGGTGGCGCTACCGGTTTGTCTGTTGATCTGTGTGCCAGTGGCTTCTCTGTGTCAGCTGACCTGTCATGGTGGTCTCTGTGTGGGTCCAGTGTTTTCAGTGTCTGTGATGTCGGAGGAGGGCAGCACCATCAAGAACCTAAACCCTGCCAACTTGTCCATGCTGTTGTGGAAGGGAGAGCCATCAGGGGCGTCACGGCCCCCCTCAGGGGTGAGTTACGGGACACCCAGGATGCATCCCAAATGGCACCGTATTGCCTATAGAGTGCAGAGCCCTAAAGTAGTGCACTGTAAAGGGAATTGGGTGCCATTTGGGACGGAGACCCAAAGGGACTAATGAACTTTAACACAGACTTTGGCAGTCACACAAGGACACAACTTTTCACATTACTTGTAAAATATATATATATATATAGTGATGGCAATAAAGAATAAACTCATTTTGTACATGCTTTTCTAAAGGCTGCCCAACTGAAATGCAGCAAACCCATGGTAGACGAAAAGGAGGACAGTTTTCACTTCAGGTAACCAATAGTGTTTTATATTCGGACGCAGCTTGTGCCAAGTGCTGGGTACTAGTAGTACTAGGATCTACAGTACCAGTCAAAAGTTTGGACACACCAGCGATCACCTGGTGGGTGGCAATTCTAACCTGGAATTATTGGGAAATTAACATAAAATGGCAACCGATATTCTGTTCAGAGGTGATGGCCACTTCATGGTGTGTCTCCTCTTAGGTGTATCAACACATAAAGGTAGTCCTGTGATGTTTATGTAAAATTATTCATTTTCATCTAACAGAGACAAAGTCATCCCAGACCATGTTGGGAAGTACACCATCCAGTTTGTGCTGTGTGTGGACAAGACTAAAGGGCTGTGGAGTCACCAGGTGAGTTCAACTTCAACCAGATGGCTTAGTCATAAACCCACTCCTCACTGACAACCTTTTTTCAGACAACCCCAACTGGCTTTGAGGGAAACGCGTGGATATGGTCTCCAAATTGGTCTCCTGTTAATCTTATGTAGAAGAAATGTCTTTCATGTCCAGTGGCTGTATGTCCATAGGTCTGTATGTCTAAAGGCCATGTAGGTCATTATTTTGGGCTACTTGTAGAACTATGATAATCATGTCTCTCTCTTTCCTGCCCTCGCCTAGTATGTCATAAATGTTGTACCCAACGATCCTGTCAAATTGGCCCCAGACCTGCAGCCACCAACCCCAGTGGTGGTTAACAACAATGTCCTTGCCAGTCGGACTCTGGTGGAGGGCATGTCTCTGAAATTAATGGTGAGATGATTAGATCCTCTGGCCAGCGAAAGGCATATCAACATATGATGAGTGAATGAAAAAAAGCCAACTTCACTAAGCAATTGAGCCAAACAAAGCATGGTTGCAGTCTATTAATGGTTAAATATATGTTATATCATTTTTGGTGACCAATCCTAACTGAGGCCATATAAATAGAATCACTAGAAAATGAATATAGCCTCTAACCATGGCAATTTGACATCATTGACTTGAATAGGGATTCCCATTCTAGTGATGATATTTCTGTGGCTGATGGTTTTTGTTGCTTCCCTCTAGGATATCTATAATAACCCAGCGGGGCTGGAGCTGAGTGGGAAGGTGGTGGTGACCATCAAGAGCTCCAAAGGCTCCAGTGACAAAGACCTGCCTCTCTTTGAGGGCAAAGCCAAGAGCCTGCAGTTTAGCCTGGCTAATGGAGAGGCCCACATCACTGTGAGTGGGGTGGAGGTTCATTTGTAGAACATCTTTGTTCAGGCTTTGTGTGCTAACCATAAGTTTGCATTACATATAGATATTGTATACACATATATTTTTAAACGTACAACATTTGAACTTCCCTCTCGCTCTCTCTCCCTTCTAGAATCTGTCCATCATGGAGAACAGTCCTGGTCAGGATGGGAATGAGTACGTCCTGCTCTTCAGACCTTCCGTCCCAGGGTTTGGCCCCAAAAATCCCCTGGCAGCGTTTGAGCTTCCCTTCCGCTTCTACAACGGTTAGGTCATAAGTTTTATTTTTAAATTGATAAATCACATCAATGTCAGTGTCATTTTAATGATTGTTTTTTTAATAGCATCGTTTTTGCGTCCTATCTAAAAGTGGTTGACACACTGTGATCATGAGTCCAGCTATCTTAAAGGGACATTTCACTCAAATAATTCAGACCTCAAAAGTAGACTAATGTTAAGATATGTCCACATCCTAGGCCATCTGTTTTGTAGATCCAGCTATGCGCCTCAATCCCAAATGAATGGAAAAGATGAGCACTGTCTAAATTACTGAATGTATTTGATGCGTGTTTTTTCCATTCATGTTGGATGGAGGCAAATAGCTGAATCTACAAAACTGATGCCTAGGGACGTGGATTCATCCTAATATTAGACTACTTTTGAGATCTGAAAATGTCTGACAAATTTAGATTTGTCCCTTTAAAGGCCAGTCTCTTGGCTCCTGGAACAGTGTGTGTCAGATGATCCTGACGGTCCTCCTGTCTACTACTAGATGTGGAGAACAGGAAGCAGATGTCTGAACTGACCAAGAAGAAGGACCAGCTCAAACAGACAGTTGAAATCTACAAGAGTCTGTTTGACACCAACAGGCAACTCATCGCTGAGCTCAAAAGTAGGTGTTGCATTCAAACATGTTACAAAACTGGTTGTTTGGATCCTGGATGCTGATTGAACGAGCAGTTCCAAGCCGTGCTGTATAAAAAATAAAGGCACTCGAGGCAGTGCTGTATTATGAATACAGTCACAGGTAAATGGAGTTGTTCAGCCCGACGAGATAGCCAGTTTTATAATCATGGACATATCCAAGTAAATGCCAATAGGGAAAAAAGTGTACTATCATTCCAGGTTCAATGTTTGACGTGACTGAGAGAGCTGAAGTTAGCAAATGACAAGAACGTTATCCAGCCTGCGTAGCAACCATTTTGTTGCAACTATGCAAAAATAATTAATGTCTGGGTCGCGTCTGTAGCAACATGATCAAAAGAACGAACCAGATTTTTGTCCGGACTATATTTTCTGGTGAAAGAATGATATTGTATGAATTGACTTATCAAAAGAACGTTTTAATGAAAATATGTAATTCATTTTTATTTTAATATCTGTAACAGTCGGGCCGAACAACGCCATTTACCTGTGACCATATTCATGATATAGCACTGCCTCTTGTACCTTATTGATTAATTATGTCAATATCAACTGAGCTGCAGGAAGGAATGGAAACTGCCAGTTTTGTGCCAAACTGTCAATGTTTAAACATTTTCATATTGTAGAGCTGTGATATGTCTTCCTTCAGATCAGGTGTGCAACGCCGCCAACAAGGAGAGTCACCTGAAATCGGAGCTCAGGAAGAATAGCATGGATGTAGCACAACTGTCGTCCGTGAGTATTTGATTATACAGTTGAAGTCGGAAGTTTACATACCCTTAGGTTGGAGTCATTAAAACTCGTTTTTCAACCACTCCACAAATTTCTTGTTACCAAACTATAGTTTTGGCAAGTTGGTTAGGACATCTACTTTGTGCATGACACAAGTAATTTTTCCAACAATTGTTTACAGACAGATTATTTCACTTTTAATTCACTGTATCACAATTCCAGTGGGACAGAAGTTTACATTCACTAAGTTGACTGTGCATTTAAACAGCTTGGAAAATTCCAGAAAATGATGTCATGGCTTTAGAAGCTTCTGATAGGCTAATTGACATCCATTGAGTCAATTGGAGGTGTACCTGTGGAAGTATTTCAAGGCCTACCTTCAAACTCAGTGCCTCTTTGCTTGACATCATGGGAAAATCTAAATAAATCAGCCAAGACCTCAGGAAAAAGAATTGTAGACCTCCACAAGTCTGGTTTATCCTTGGGAGCAATTTCCAAATGCCTGAAGGTACCACGTTCATCTGTACAAACAATAGTACGCAAGTGTAAACACCATGGGAACACGCAGCCATCATACCGCTCAGGAAGGAGACGCGTCCTGTCTCCTAGAGATGAGCGTACTTTGGTGCGAAAAGTGCAAATCAATCCCAGAACAACAGCAAAGGACCTTGTGAAGATGCTGGTGGAAACAGGTACAAAAGTATCTATATCAACAGTAAAACGAGTCCTGTATCGACATAACCTGAAAGGCCGCTCAGCAAGGAAGAAGCCACTGCTCCAAAACCGCCATAAAAAAGCCAGACTACGGTTTGCAACTGCACATGGGGACAAAGATTGTACTTTTTGGAGAAATGTCCTCTGGTTTGATGAAAGAAAAATAGAACTGTTTGGCCATAATGACCATCGTTATGTTTGGAGGAAAAATGGGGTTGCTTGCAAGCCGAAGAACACCATCCCAACCGTGAAGCACGGGGGTGGCAGCATCATGCTGTGGGGGTGCTTTGCTGCAGGAGGGACTGGTGCACTTCACAAAATAGATGGCATCATGAGGAAGGAAAATTATGTGGATACATCTCAAGACATTACATTTTAGTCATTTAGCAGACGCTCTTATCCGGAGCGACTTACAGTTAGTGAATACATTTTTTTTTTTATACTGGCCCCCCGTGGGAATCGAACCCACAACCCTGGCGTTGCAAACGCCATGCTCAATTAACTGAGCTACATCCCTGCCGGCCATTCCCTCCCCTACCCTGGACGACGCTGGGCCAATTGTGCGCCGCCCATGAGTCTCCCGGTCGCGGCCGGCGGCGACAGAGCCTGGATTCGAACCAGGATCTCTAGTGGCACAGTTAGCACTGCGATGCAGTGCCTTAGACCACTGTGCCACTCAGGAGTACTGCGCCACTCAAGACATCATTCAGGAAGTTAAAGCTGGTCACAAATGGTCTTCCAAATGGACAATGACCCCAAGCATACTTCCAAAGCTGTGGCAAAATGGCTTAAGGACAACAAAGTCAAGGTATTGGAGTGGCCATCACAAAGCCCTGACCTCAATCCTATAGAAAATGTGTGGGCAGAACTGAAAAAGTGTGTGCGAGCAAGGAGGCCTACAAACCTGACTCAGTTACACCAGCTCTGTCAGGAGGAATGGGCCAAAATTCACCCAACTTATTGACGACACATTTTCCCTTGGGTGTCGTCAACTCTATGACGACACCCAGGGGAGGCAGCAGGTCATGCCCCTGGACAGTGTTCTGGAGGAAGCTTGTGGAAGGCTACCTGAAACGTTTGACCCAAGTTAAACAATTTAAAGGCAATGCTACCAAATACTAATTGAGTGTATGTAAACTTCTGACACACTGGGAATGTGATGAAAGAAATAAAAGCTGAAATGAATCATTCTCTCTACTATTATTCTGACATTTCACATTCTTAAAATAGAGTGGTGATCCTAACTGACCTAAGACAGGGAATTTTTACTAGGATTAAATGTCAGGAATTGTGAAAAACTGAGTTTAAATGTATTTGGCTAAGGTGTATGTAAACTTCTGACTTCAACTGTACCTACATTCTCCCACTTAGAAAGACCATAGATACTCAACCACATCCACAAGACTGTCATTGTACTATGCATAATGCATGCATTCTGAAGTTGAAAGGTTTGATGGATCCATTCTATGTTTCTGTAGATCCCAGCGATCGACGAACTGATTAGTCAGAAGACTGCTGACACGGAGAAGATGAAACTCCAGACGCGGAGAGTCTGCTCCATGCCCGATCCCTTCAGGGGCAACCCCGACGTCCTGGGAAAAGTAATGCCACAAACACATTTACTCTGTCTGGGTCCCAAATGGCACCCTATTCCCTATCAGGTGCCATTTGGGAGCCAGCCCCGGTCTCTGCAGCTTCCTTATGCTTCAGCCTAAGTAGTGGTTAATTGGTGAAGGACAGTATGTGGTGTGTTCCTCAGAATCAGTCCCTCTGTCTCTGATGCAGATTGGCCACCTGGCGCTGGTGGAGGACGATGATGTGGCCACAGTCATCTCCTGGCACCTCTTGGGGGACATTGACTGTGTGGTCACCATGACAACAGTGGCGGCGCGGAAGATCTATGACGACACCCAGGGGAGGCAGCAGGTCATGCCCCTGGACACAGTGTTCTGGAGGAACAACAGCAGCAGGTAAACACATGCACACCTTTACACTCAAAACAGCATGCAATTGTTCCTTACTTTCCAGTAGTTGACATTTGCCTCCTACAGTTTGAATCTGTGACCTGTGTTGCATAAAGTTCTTGGAGCTATGTTTCATTGTTCTCAAAGGTGTTCATGCTTTACATGCTTTAGTGAGCTGTACTTGTTTCTTTTCCAGACCCTTGCCCCACATAAGGAAAGGTCAGGCCAGCTTTCGTCCCATTGGGAACCCTGTGTTTGCCCGAGACCTCCTTATTTTCCCAGAGAATGCAGAGAACTGCCAGATAGGCGAGTCAGTCTTCTTCAGAATTTCTCTTTGGATCAAATATTCCAGACGAACCCCAGGCTCTTACCTCACAGGGCAGTTATGGCGTCCCTCCCTGGGGGGCTCTGCTACTGTAGCTGAAATTGGACCCTAGCCTTTCACTATAAAAATTATTATACATCATGATGCTGTTTGTGTCGTTAAAGGATTATCAACATTTGCATGTTTATACTTTTGTTTTTGTTCTTTTTCCCCTCTTATCTAATGAGAGCCTAGATTTCAGTATTTCCAGATTTGGGACTGATTTCATGAGGGCTCTTGTAACAGTTTTACGTTCTTTCTTTACATGTTATGCTTCTCAGGGGCTTCCGCTTGTAAGAGGTTTTTGTAGGGGCATGACATCACCTGAAATTGTTAAATCCTTCAAAGAATAACTCAGTTCAACTCCAGTGATTTACCCTCTACAGAAGTAGTTGTATGATATCATACACCCCTGTCTTGAGCCAAATAATGAAACATGATTCACAAACAATAAAAGTAGGAGCGTTAGTGATCAGTTTCAGGTACTAATCCGGTAGTAGTTTGGTGAATACGTATGTAACTAGCCTTTTTGATAATCATCCCTTGTTTCCCTGCAGTGTTTGGCAACCTCCTTGGAGACACCATTTTGACGGATGACCTGGACTCTGCTAACCACTACAGGAAGGGGGTGAGTCAGGCCAGGCATGTTGCCTTAACCAAGCCATCTGTAACACACAGGCCAAGTAGTGTTCTACTTTAAAGCCATTGCCTGGGAGTTCTGGGGTGTATTCATTAGTGCACACTGTAGCAAAAGGTTTCACGACAGAAACCGTTTTCAACGAGAACTAGTTTCTATTGCACAAATTCAGGGGTTTATTCATTTAGATGGCGACCGCAGCAAACTGTTACAAAACGTTTTGCAACTGAAAAACGAAAATGTGAGTTTCTGTTAGACAAATGTAGGTAGGTACTTCCCCGTTTCGACCCTAATCCCTAAATAGGGAATTTCTCCATTTGTGAAGAAGGTCTAGTGTCATTGTATGGGTGGTACAGAAACCTGTCCTAAAGTCCAGTCAGTGTTTTCTATATGTTTTCCTGTTTTGAGAATGGGGTCTTGTTTTGGTTTTGGCCAGGTGGTCCAGAGCAAGATGCCATGCCCCACCCTCCTGACCCGGCAGGGCGAGAGGATCCGCAGCAATGGCAAGTTTGGGGGCTTGCAGAACAAAGCCCCTCCGATAGAGAGACTGCGTGGCCAGGTGTTCGGCGCACCCCTCCCCAAGGAGTACCACACCTTTATGGGCCAGATTGGTCAGTGACTGGATTTTACTTCTGTTTGTGTGTGCACACGTACGTTTCGTAGCATAGGTACGTAGTATAAATGTACAATGCCTTTGTCCCTGTTTGTAGACCTGCTCCAGCAGTACCGGTTGGCCATGGAAAAGAGCAGACAGGTGAAGGAGGACTTTGACTGCCACATGCAATACCTGAAGTCACCTGAGATGGTGCAGAAGGAGGAGGAGATGGATGAGCAGGAGAAGCAGCTCAAAGACATTGAGACAAAGCTTGGTACGTGTACGTGAGGAGGGGTACATTTCAACACTGTAATGAAAAAAATAAAATATTAAAGCACATTTCTCACTCCCAAGGCCCTAAAGAGCATTGTTAGGTGACCGCTACATTATTTTCCTGTCACTTTGTTTTAATCTGTAAGTGATTACTTTGCTATTTGTTCAAATTCTATTTGTGTGTTTTTGTACAGCCAGTACTCCAGTTCGGACGCCTTCTGCCATTGGGGTGAAACGGAGTCTTGACAAGGCCGGAGAATCGTCCGGTATGGTAACCAAGAGGACGAGGCGGAAGTTATTAAAACAGGACTATTGATTTCCCTTTTTTGAGTGACATGAATGTCCATTTTCAATTACATTTGACATGTACAACAGAGCGTTTTACCATGCCATCTACATTATGTCTGAGAGTTAGTCTCTTCATCCATTTTCATTAATTTGTACAACAGGTTGTGTATTGTTCCGTTTTAACTTGCTTTTTGTTCTGTTTACAATTAACTGCGTTTGAGAGGGTAGGAAGGTTTTGGACAATGTACAAAGATTTGTTTTATTTTTTATTAAAAAATATTTTATAAATTGTTTAAATGTATGTGTTTTCACTAATTAATTAGGTGAGTTGTGAAAATTCTACAAAAAAATATTTTGAATGAATCAGTATTTGTCACTTTAGCAACAGTCAGCCCTCTAAAATGATACCAATGACACTCAATCAAATGTACAGTGCCTTGCAAAAGTATTCATCCCCCTTAGCGTTTTTCCTATTTTGTTACATTACAACCTGTAATTTAAATGGATTATTATTTGGATTTCATGTAATGGACATACACAATAGTGAAAATTGGTGAAGTGAAATAAAAAAAATTACTTGTTTCAAAAAGTTCTAGAAAATAAATAACGGAAAAGTGGTGCGTGCATTTGTAATTACCCCCTTTGTTAAGAAGGCCCTAAATAAGATCTGGTGCAACCGATTACCTTCAGAAGTCACATAATTAGTTAGATTGCACACAGGTGGACTTTAAGTGTCACATGATCTCAGTATATATACACCTGTTCTGAAAGGCCCCAGAATCTGCAACACCAAGCAAGCAGCACCATGAAGACCAAGGAGCTCTCCAAACAGGTCAGGGACAAAGTTGTGGAGAAGTACAGATCAGGGTTGGGGTATAAAAAATATCAGACACTTTGAACATCCCACAGAGCACCATTTAAATCCATTATTAAAAAATTGAAAGAATATGGCACCACAACAAACCTGCCAAGAGAGAGCCGCCCACCAAAACTCAGACCAGGCAAGGAGGGCATTAATCAGAGGCAACAAAGATAACACTGAAGGAGCTGCAAAGCTCCACAGCGGAATTTTTAGTATCTGTCCATAGGACCACTTTAAGCATTACAATCCACAGAGCCGGGCTTTACGGAAGAGAGGCCAGAAAAAAGCCATTGCTTAAAGAAAAAAATAAGCAAACACATTTGGTGTTCACCAAAAGGCATGTGGGAGACTTCCCATACATATGGGAGAAGGTACTGTGGTCAGATGAGACTAAAATTGAGCTTTTTGGCCATCAAGGAAAGCGCTATGTCTGGCACAAACCCAACACCTCTCATCACCCCGAGAACACCATCCCCACAGTGACGCATGGTGGTGGCAGCATCATGCTGTGGGGATGTTTTTCATCGGCAGGGACTGCGAAACTAGTCAGAATTGAAGGAATGATGGATGGCGCTAAATACAGGGAAATTCTTGAGGGAAACCGGTTTCAGTCTTCCAGAGATTTGAGACTGGGACAGAGGTTCACATAACAGCAGGACATTGACCCTAAGCATACTGCTAAAGCAACACTGGAGTAGTTTAAGGGGAAACATTTAAATGTCTTGGAATGGCCTAGTCTAAACCCAGACCTCAATCCAATTGAGAATCTGTGGTATGACTTAAAGATTGCTGTACACCAGCGGAACCCATCCAACTTGAAGGAGCTGGAGCAGTTTTGCCTTGAAGAATGGGAGAAAAACCCAGTGGCTAGATGTGCCAAGCTTATAGAGACATACCCCAAGAGACTTGCAGCTGTAATTGCTGCAAAAGGTGGCTCTACAAAGTATTGACTTTAGAGGGGTGAATAGTTATGCACGCTTAAGTTCTGTTTTCAGAACTTTGTTTCACAAAAAATAATTTGCATCTTCAAAGTGGTAGGCATGTTGTGTAAATCAAATGATACAAACCCCCCAAAAATCCATTTTAATTCCAAGTTGTAAGGCAACAAAATAGGAAAAATGCCAAGGGGGGTGAATACCACTGTCAATAACACAATATGATCTCATTTCAATGTGCACTCATAAATAATTTGGTATGTATTCTAAAAAGTGTCTTTTAGGTTTTGTTCAAAGTTTTGTATGAGTAGTACTTCCTTTAGTCAGTCTCAGTGTTGGAGGCCTCACTACAGACCCTGGTTCGATTCCATGCTGTATCACAATCCAGCCTTGATTGGGAGGCCCGTAGTGCGGCGCACAATTGGGCAAGCGTCGTCCGGGTTTGGCCAGGGTAGGCTGTCATTGTAAATATGAATTTGTTCTTAACTGACTTGCCTAGTTAAATAATGGTAAAATAAAAAGTATATCCCACCCATCTGAAGGTGATGGTCATATGACACCCACCTATCAATAAAACGGATGTTTACTACAAGATGTATCACTGTTACAACAAAGTGATGCTAGTCTGACAATCTCACATGTTTGCAAGGGATTGACGTGAAATGCGCTCCTACAAGTATAATAAAATTGATCATTTGCTAGAGGTGCATCTTCAAAGACTGAATGCCTCCTTGTCACTCATAATTTATACAGCGGGATCATCCAGAAGTGGTGTAAAGAAGGGTTTCCCAAACTCGGTCCTCTTTCCCCAATGCACGCTTTGGTTTTTGCCCTAGCGCTGCACACCTGATTCAAATAATCAAAGCTTGATGATGAGGTGGTTATTTGTATCAGCTGTGTAGTGCTAGGGCAAAAACCAAAACATGAACCCGGGAGACCCCAGGACCAGGTTTGGGAAAACCTGGTGTAAAGCACTATGGCATTATCCAGTGGGCTGGATATGAAAGTGTTCCTTTGGGGACTTTCACTAAAGTTGCACGCACGCGGTCAACCACATTCAGTACTTGTTCAAGAAAGCAGGAAACATGATCTCAGAAGAAACTAAAGCAGATGAGTGAGGAAACTACGAAACGGGATATAATCGCTGCTCGACTGGGAGCGCATTTTTCTCTCTGGGAGTGAGGAGCGCTGGCAGAGGGAGGGGAGCGCTGTACCGCAAACGTCACGTCACAGGCTGCTATACCCTGGAAGAAAGTTTGCATTATCAGCCTTTCGAGCTACTGCTAGGAGAGGGACCAAAACGTCTAACCTCAATGCTTACATTTGTCTACTTATTTTTTTCGTTGTATTAAAATGAAGTGCCTTCCCACCGGATTCGTCCTAAAAAGTGCCTTATTCCCCTTATTGCTCACCTTTCCATTGATCTATGGAACGCCGTCCGGGTATAACATGTTCCAGGGAAGCGCATACTCTGGCTCAGAACAACGACAGAGGAATAAGTGAGTCAAGTTTTCATAGTTCTTTGTACTGTATGTATAATCGTAAACATTTGTTTATAGTTTTGACTGATCATTTATGGTTATATTATTGGAGACTCCAATAGTCTAAATTGTCTGGAGTATGACTTTCTTCTTACTGTAGGCATATGCTGAAATAGATTGTGATTTATTTTTCATTGAAATTATAACCAAAAAAATCACATCCTTATGGGTTTACACGTTATTTTGTTTTTTGAAAATAGGCCAATGGCAAAAAAAAATCATGTAAAATGTAACTGAAATTTTAATAGAATAATGAAATCAACACATTTATGGTAGGCCTATATGATTATTCGACTTGAAAGACTTCACCATTTCTCTTTCATAGGCTGAATTTTTTTCGTACATTTGTCATTTTGTGTGACCCAATAATTCAATTTTCAGAAACTGGTGTGCATACGTTGTGCACAAGAACGTGAGTTATGCGGTCGTGGGTGGCACGGAGAGCTTTGTGCAGCCGGAGTCTGCGCGGTGCCGGATGCATCAGCCCAACTGCGCGCAACAAGTGATGTAAGTGGCCCAAGAGGCTCGCTCGAGAGGGTGGAGTGCTGCTATTTTAATTGGGCTTGAGAGCGGTGTTACAGCAGTGACTCAACATTATTAAAGAAAGTTGACTTTGAACACTTGATTACTTTGAATGTTAAGAATATTTCCACGTATCAACCAATAGTGTTGAGGATCCATGGTCCTGTCCTCTGCCTAGTATTTAAAACACCATTACATGATTGCATTGTTTATTGGCATTCCGAATAAACTTGTGTAAAGTTCTTTACAATCTCAGCAAAGAAAATAACTGATCAGCTGTTAATGTATGCTACTGTATTCATGATTTCCATCAGCTATTTTATCACTACTCAACGGCAGCAGAGGGTATGTCTCAGTGATCTTTGCACACACCCACTGTTAGGTCAGTTGGGTCACACTCACTGAGTAGGTGTAGTTACCCTCTGGGCATACCTGTCCCATTATCTTCTGTAATCTGCATTCACCCTTTCAGATCCTCAGATTATTCCATATTTATGACAGATCATCTGAGAGTGATTAGATGGTTATGACGAACCAGTGAATTTTATTGATTGATCCGTTATGGTCTATTTGTCACTGTCTGCGACAAGAAACATGTCCATGAGCCATTGAGCCTTATGGAAGATAAGGGGAATAAAGGATTGTGCAGTTAGAAGAATAGACTCTTTATTTGGCTTAACTGTAAATAAGCATCTGCTTTGTATTGGCACACATGGCACTGTTACGCACAAAGTCCCTCTGTGCAACATCAGTCAGAGGCATCTGACACATTTCTCCCTGGGTTGGCTGCTTTCATGTGTTATTATTGAGCATCATGTTGGGCAACATGTCCTGGGGCCAGTGACGAAGCAAGGCTCCACAACTGACAGGGTGAAAATAGTGGAAAATATTAAGCAGCGTTAAAAGAAGTGCATGAAGAATTAGGAGTGTGACTGGCTAGCTAGCACATCTGGAGTTTGTTGTCATAAACAGATCTTTATTGCTGGGATTCCAAGGCCTGTACTGCTCTCCTGAGAGGGGCCACTGCTCAAGCGTAGTTGTAACTTGGCAAAGCATTGCTCACATTACTCACATTTCACGAACAGTCCATTGAAACATTGAAAGCAGAAGCTCAGTGGAGAATAACATTGAGGGGGTTTTATGTTGTGAGCATAATTACTTGAGTATGTCTTGTTGTGAGTCTTTCCTATGAGCTGTGTTCCCAATGGTTTTATGGTTTGATTGATTAAATCTGTTTTGAAATATGAATATCATTATCATTCACTCATTTGTGAGAACTGACAGTCAAGTTTAAAGTCAAAACAATCTCCCCATTGTAGAAAATGTGAATGCACCTTTTAGTCATCTCTTTCTTTGCCATATTACCTTTTCTTTTTTCCAGGTATCGGACCCAATTCCGCCCCATGTATAAGGTTGGCTATAAGCTGGTGACAGAGCTGGAGTGGAGGTGCTGTCCAGGGTACCAGGGTCATGACTGCAAAGACCTGAAAGGTATCCCGTCCCGTCAGACAGTCCTGGGGCCTCGGCCCAACCTGCTGCCTGCCCCCGGACACATCCCAGAGACACAGGGTAGGAGAGCTGCTTAAACCTACCTCACCTTTTAGAGACACATACCTGACCCACAACCCATACATGACTAGTATGCTAGCATATGATTAGTTTAGGAATGTTTTTCACTACTCTACTACTGTAGTAATGTGAAGCATAGATTAAACCCACAATAATAAATGTAGGTTTCCTAGGAGAAAAGAGGACTTATCCTAACCATCTGATTTCCCTCTGTAGGTCCGGGGCAGCAGGCGTGGGGTCAGAGTGGCCACCCCTGGGGGGCAGAGGGGCAGCCAGGAGGTCAGGCAGGCCAGGGGGGGGCGAGGGGCCAGGTGGCGAGCCAGGGAGAGAGTCAAACGACACAGCAGCTGGAGGAGGAGGTGCAGCGTCTGTCCCAGCAGGTCCTGGACATGCAGGCAGCCATGACCACCCTGTCTGCCAACCTGAGGGTGGACCTGCAGGAGGACGCCAGCAAGATGCTGGTCACGCTGCTCAACAACCTGCGGCAGCCGGAAAGCGTGCGTGGCGAGCAGCAGAGCATGCTTCTGCAGGGCCTCTCCCTGGAAAAGGAGTACAACACGGTGGACATGGACGAGTTCACAAACAAGATCAACAACCTCACCGACACCCTCAACACCAAGAGCAACGCCCTGGATGACCTCCAGGCCAGGGTCAACCACCATGACGGACAGCTACGCCTGCTAATGGAGGCCACCCAGGCCCCTCTGGCCACCCAGGCCCCTCCAGCTCCGCCGGCCAATGACGCGGCCCTGTGCGCCTACGTGGATGCAAAGTTCCACGCCCTGAGGGACGAGATGATGGAGGGCATGGAGATCAAGATGTCGGACCTGAAGAACTCGTGTGACTATAAGATGCTGTCAGTGCAGGAGCAGTCTGAGTTCCAGGAGAACAGCTACCTCAGCCTGACCGAGCTCCTCGAGTCCAAGGAGATGGACCTCCGCAAGGAGATCCAGGACCTCAAGAACCAGCTGCCTGGTCTGCTTAGGAGAGACGGAACCCCACCAGGGGTGCAGGAGCTGCGGAAGGAGCTGTTCCGGGTCTCTGAAGCCCAGCTGAGCCTCCAGTCCAGCCTAGAGAAGAAGCCTGAGCCTGATCCACTCCTGCCCCGTGTGGAAGAGCTGGAGGCCCATCTAAACATGACGGAGAGGAGCGTGGTGGTGCACAGCCTCTTCCTAGAGGAGAAGCTGAGGAGAGAGGGGGCAGAGGGGGCTGCAAACCTGAAGAAGGCCATTGAGGACAGGATGAGCTCCATGGAGTACCGGGTCACCAGTCTACTGGTGGAGATAAGCAGCCCCCTATCTGGGGCTCAGGCTGGGCTGGTGGCACTGCAGGGTGAGGTGACCTCTCACAAGACCAGCGTTCAGGCTCTGGAGGACAGATTCAATGCCCTTGACCAGCTGTGCTCTACAGAGTGCAAGTCTGACCAACTGGCCATAGAGCGCATTCAAGATAACCTCCAGGTCTACAGAACCAGCCTAGACACCATGCAGTCTAGCATGAAAGGCCACTCAGCTAGTCTTGGAGACATGGAGGAGTTTGTCCAAGGGCAGCTCCTGAACCATACCGCCAGTCTTACAGATATGCAGGAAGAGCTATGGGCTCTGAAAGGACATATGGGGGGACATGAGGGCTTTCTGTCGGCCCTGGGGCTCTCTCTCAGCCAGCAGTCCCTGGAGCTCAAAGGGCAGCTTCTGAACCACAGTGCCAGTCTTGCAGGTGTGGAGGAAGCGCTAGGAGCTCTCAGTGGGCGTATGGAAGTGCAGGAGGGCTCTCTGTCAGACTTGGGTGTCTCTCACAGTGCTAATCTTAAAGATGTGCAGGGGGAGCTGGGAGCTCTCAGCGAGCGTGTTGGAGGACAGGAGGGCTCTCTATCGGCCATGGGTGTCTCTCTCAGCCGGCAGTCCCTGGAGCTCCAGCAACTGAACACCTGTTGCCAGAGCAGCGTGGGGCCGGCCCAGGATGCCAGGGACCTGTTGGAGCTCCACCTGGCCCAGAGAGAGGAGCTGAGGGCTCGGCTGGAGGAACTGGGACGGGAGGTGAGGGCCGAGGCAGACCACTGCAGGAACAGGACCGAGGGTGTAGCCCTGGACGTTACCACCGTAGATGGCCGGGTTGCCAGCTTGGAGAACATATGCGGCAGGCTGGAAGCCGTCTCCAGCAGCCTGCACAGGATCAAGGAGGGGCTGAACAAGCACATGACCGGCCTGTGGAACAGCGTCAGCGAGATCAACGGCACCCTGCAAGCCCACGCCAAGGACATTGGAGGACTGAAGGGAACATACCAGAACCTCCAGGTCCACTTCTCAGGCATCACCCAGGGCCTGCATCATCTAACTACCAGTCCTGAGAACACTGGTAAGACTTGACTTAGAGATTAGGTATTTATTAGGATCGCCATTAGCCGCTGCAAAAGCATCAGCTACTCTTCTACATGAAACATGACATAATAGATAGTACAGAACATTATTAGTCAAGGACTGAAATACATACATTTAAAACGTCACACAGCCTACATATCAGAACATACACACTATCTAGGTCTAATACATAATACAGTGCAAATTACAAAACAAGATATATAAAATGGCTGTGTCTCTTCACAGTCCCCGTTGTGCAGTAAGGTGTTCTTTAATCTGTTTTTTTTTTACTGGTTTTATTGCTAGCTTGAGTTACCTGGAGTGGCAGAGTTCCATGTAGTCATGGCTCTATTTAATACTGTGCGTTTCCCAGCCTCTGTTCTGGACCTGGGGACTGTGAAGAGACCTCTGGTTGCATGTCTTGTGTTGTAGCGATGAGTGTCCGAACTGTGTGCCAACTGCTTGAACAGACAGTTCAGTACCTTCAACACATCAATAACTCGCACAAAGACCAATAGTGATGCAGTCAATCTCTCCTCAACTTTGAGCCAGGAGAGACTGACATGCATGTTAATGACACTTTCCCTCCGTGTACGTCTAAGTGTGATACATATTGCTTTGTTCTGGACAAACTGCAATTTGCCTATGTCCCTCTTTGCCGCACATGACCACACAGCTGGGCAGCAGTCCAGGTGCGACAAAACTAGGGCATATAGGACCTGTCTGGTCGACTGAGATTTCAAGAAGGCAGAGCAATACCCTATCATGGACAGACCTCTTCCCATTTTAGCAACCATTGAGTCTATATGTTTTGATCATGACAGCTTGCTATCTAGGGTTACACCCAGCTGTTTAGTCTCCTCAACTTGCTCAATAGCCACATTATTCAATAATAGCTCTAAATGAGGTTTAGCATTGAACGAGTGATTTGTCCCAAAAATGATGCTTTTCGTTTTTTTGATATTTCGCACCAGCCTATTGCTTAGTTACCCATTGTAAAACTGACTGGAGCTCTATGTTAAGGGTGTCAGTTATTTATTTTACTGTTGCAGCCGACGTGTACAGTCGTGGTCAAAAGTTTTGAATGACACAAATACTAATTTTCACAAAGTCTGCTGCCTCAGTTTTGATGATGGCAATTTGCATATACTCCAGAATGTCATGAAGAGTGATCAGATGAATTGCAATTAATTGCAAAGTCCCTCTTTGCCATGAAAATGAACTTAATCCCCCAACAAACATTTCCACTGCATTTCAGCCCTGCCACAAAAGGACCAGCTGCCATCATGTCAGTGATTCTCTCGTTAACACAGGTGAGTGTTGATGAGGACAAGGCTGGAGATCACTCTGTCATGCTGATTGAGTTAGAATAACAGACTGGAAGCTTTAAAAGGAGGGTGGTGCTTGAAATCATTGTTCTTACCTGCAAGGAAACGCGTGCCGTCATCATTGCTTTGCACAAAAAGGGCTTCACAGGCAAGGATATTGCTGCTAGTAAGATTGCACCTAAATCAACCATTTATCAGATCATCAAGAACTTCAAGGAGAGAGAGGTTCAATTGTTGTGAAGAAGGCGTCAGGGCACCCAAGAAAGTCCAGCAAGCGCCAGGACCGTCTCCTAAAGTTGATTCAGCTGCGGGGCACCACCAGTGCAGAGCTTGCTCAGGAATGGCAGCAGGCAGGTGTGAGTGCATCTGCACGCACAGTGAGGCAAAGACTTTTGGAGGATGGCCTGGTGTCAAGAAGGGCAGCAAAGAAGCCACTTCTCTCCAGGAAAAACATCAGGGACAGACTGATATTCTGCAAAAGGTACAGGGATTAGACTGCTGAGGACTGGGGTAAAGTCATTTTCTCTGATGAATCCCCTTTCCGATTGTTTGGGGCATCTGGAAAACACCCTGTCTGGAGAAGACAAGGTGAGCGCTACAATCAGTCCTGTGTCATGCCAACAGTAAAGCATCCTGAGACCCTTCATGTGTGGGGTTGCTTCTCAGCCAAGGGAGTGGGCTCACTCACAATTTTGCCTAAGAGCACAGCCATGAATAAAGAATGGTACCAACACATCCTCTGAGAGCAACTTCTCCAACCATCCAAGAACAGTTTGGTGATGACCAATGCCTTTTCCAGCATGATGGAGCACCTTGCCATAAGGCAAAAGTGATAACTAAGTGGCTCGGGGAACAAAACATCAACATTTTGTGTCCATGGCCAGGAAACTCCCCAGACGTTAATCCCATTGAGAACTTGTGGTAGATCCTCAAGAGGCGGGTGGACAAACAAAAACCCACAAATTCTGACAAACTCCAAGCATTGATTATGCAAGAATGGGCTGCCATCAGTCAGGATGTGGCCCAGAAGTTCATTGACAGCATGCCAGGGTGGATTGCAGAGGTCTTGAAAAAGAAGGGTCAACACTACAAATATTGACTCTTTGCATAAACTTAATGTAATTGTCAATAAAAGTATTTGACACTTATGGAATGCTTGTAATTATACTTCAGTATACCATAGTAACATCTGACAAAAATATCTCATAACACTGAAGCAGCGAACTTTGTGAAGACCAATACTTGTGTCATTCTCAAAACTTCTGACCACGACTGTATACTGTTGGGTCATCAGCATACACACAGGCTTTATTCAAGGTCAGTGGAAGGTAATTTGTGAAAACAACCGAATTTGCTTAAGAGAGGCTTCCATAAACGAAAACCCTCTGTGTTCTATTAAATAGGTAACTCTCAATCCATAATAAGGCAGAGGATGCAAATTCATAACACCTACGTTTTTGCAGCAATAGGTTATGATCAATGACATCAAAAGCTGCACTGAAGTCTAACAAAACAGCTCCCACAATCTTCTTACTATCAATTTCTTTCAGCCAATCATCAGTCATTTGTGTCAGTGCCAAGCATGTGGAGTGCCCTTCCCTATAAGCATGCTGAAAGTCTGTTGTTAATTCGTTTTCTGTAAAATAACTTTGTATTTGATCAAACACAATTTTTTCCCAAAATTTGCTAAGCACTTGTAACATGCTGATTGGTCGGCTGTTTGAACCATTAAAGGGTGCTCTGCTATTCTGGGGTAGCGGAATGACATTTGCCTCCCTCCATGTCTGAGGGCACATACTGTCTTCTAGGCTTAAATTGAAGATGTGGCAAAGGGGAGTCACAATAACCATCATGTCAAAGTAAACTTGCAGTCACGCGGTGCTTTGTTGTGTGGTCCTCCCACTGCGACTTGAAAAATCATGCGTAGTTTATTAGGATAAAGATTAAATAAAATTGACCACTTTGCTTGCTTAAAATGTGCACAATTATTCCAATAATTCAGGTTATTACCTCTAAATAGTTCTTAAACCTACAGCTCCCCCATGTCGGCTCTCTCCTGCTAAGTTAGTTTCCTACTGGTTACACCACAGTATATATCATCAAGGTGTTCCAGTAGCAGAGACTGGAAATTACAATCAAATTGTGCTAGTAAGATAAACCTCAGAGCTGCAGCTGGGGCCCATTTGGGGCGCTTAAGGTTGTTGCTTTAAATTGTGCCTAGTGGTATGTGTTTTAATGTAGGACCTGTTAGTTAAGTGTATGTCTCTAACCAGGTTTCCATCCAACCTTTATGTGCATAAAGTACGTCGGATAAAAAATGTCACGACAGGCCTGATGGAAATAGCAAATTTGTTGGTAAACTTTCCAAACGTCAACAAAAAGGTGGGAAAATGTTGGGGTCGGTGAAATAGATTATGCAACAATTGCGTTGGAAATGCTTTTATGCACAAATATTGACATAATAACCATCATGTCGAAGTAAACTTGCAGTCACGCGATGCTTTCTTGTGTGGTCCTCCCAAAGCATGCACAGTTTATTAGGCTAAAGATAAAATAAGTTATGATGAACTTCACAGGGTGGTGAAAGTGCATGAGCTTGATGCTACTTTCCAATAAATATTGAGGGTCTTAATTTTTATGGTGTTGACATGATGATCGGTGCTTGGCTGCCAATTGACAAATAAAAATTAACTTGCTCTTATTCATAACCACCTCATGTACCCTCCGAACTGTTTCTGTGAGCTGTTGGCTAGAGGCAGGGGTTCCCAAACTTTTTCACTCAGGCCCCCCTTCCAGCATTGGGGAACATCCCGCGCTCATGCCGCCACGTCTATTTCTATGGGCACAAGCACTGTTCATGACACACTGTTCACACCCCTCTTGTTGGCGGAGATAAAAAGTTTGAAGGTTTAAAGTGTATTTCCTGCAATTCTACACATTTTGTCATGTGGTGCAGAGAACATTTTGCAGTTTTAAAGCTAATTTTCTTGCAATTCTATACATTTTGCCATGTCTAATGTGTATTCATGTGATATTTGAGTGACTCGAACGTTACTACAAAATCTATGTGCCCCCACCCCCGCCGAGCCCCTCGCCCCCCACAGTTTGGGAACCAGTGGGCTAGAGCGTACATATGTACATATTGTTTTGTGCAGGTTTTAGAATAATCTGTCGCGAATGGAAACCTAGCTAGCTTCTTTGTGAGAACTAAGGGAAACAGGGGAAGCTGGATTTCAATCTCCCTGGGTTTTGACTCAGAGGCATCACTGATTTGAACACACGTGGTCATTTTAAATAGACTCTGTTTGTGTTGAGCAATGCTTCGGCTTTAAGGGATTATTACCGTGTGTGTGGGCGTGCTCCTTATCTCTGTAGTAGAGGTCTTCACGGGTCCAGTTATCCCGATATACCCAACCCAGGCTCGAAATTCTAATTTATCCCTCGGGTCCGGGTCGGGTCCTGTTTGATTGTCATCGGGTCTATGTGACCACGGCTCTGCATAGCCTATAGCATATTTATTTTATGCTAATAAGGTGAATTTATTGACTTATAGAAGGTTTACCCAACATATAAAGATCTATTCGTTAACCAGAAGAGCAACTTGGCTGA